ACGTGCACGCGCGCGCGCACACACACACACACAGAATGCACAGACAGAATACCTGGGTCTACATAATTCTTATCTATTCTCTACCAGTAGCAGATAAACAAGCTGAAAAAAATCTGCTCATAGGCTACACAACTACGTATGAGGCCTTCTAAAAAAAGCTCTTCTAGAGAATCGTGTGTGTGTGTGTGTGTGTGTGTGTGTGTGTGTGTGTACGTATGTATTTGGGTGGTAGGCCTTGTGCATACAAAGCAAAAAGAATCTATTTCAACGTGTTTATCAGAAATCTATCCTGATAACTTCAGTCCTTTATTCTTCTATTTATAGGAAGGCAGAGAGGAATACTAGCTCACTACCTCATCAGGACTGAGTTCTGAAAGAATTTCTAAACTTCCTGAGCTCCTGAGCCCCATGTTTGAAGTGCTACAAAAGCTCTCTAAAGGACAATAGTAGCAGAGAAATATGTAAAAGGAAATGTGTTATTAGGCAAAGCAGAATATTATTCATAATAAACAATGCATTGCACTAAGCACATTCTTCCAGGTTACTTGTTTTTCATTGCCTTTCAGGTATTTTATAACTCTTACGACGTGTAGGTAAGTGGTAACAAGGCACTCTAATTGCCTAATGACAACTGTCTGCTGTTACACATCAATTGTGCTAGGAGAGATTCAATTAACTTCCTTTTTCCCTTGTGATGGAAAATCAGTTTTGCAACTTCTTGTAAATTCATTTCAATATGCTTGATTTATAAATATATTTGCTCTTTGGATTTGCTTTGGAATAAGGTGTAGTCACATTTCCAGTTTCCTCATTTAATTAATCAGTTAAGTAAAATATTTGACATATGCCCATTTTATATTCATATGGGATGTTACTTTTTATGAAAATTACCTTTTCATAGATTTATGAAACAAAATAGGTCACCATTTTCAAGATAAAAAGAAGCCTTCTGTTTTTACTTAAAATTGAATGTAGCCATGACATATACACATTCCCATTATATAGTCCTAACATGGCAATATTATATGAAAGTATTAATCCCTGCAGTTAGACTGACAGCTCAATGTCATTAAATGCATTCTTTCTCGTTAGTTCTCCAATTATTGATGTCTTCTGGCTGGAAAGTCTTCCAGACCAGCTCCATTCTATACCAAAGGAAAAGCTGGGAGAGGACCATAGAAAAGTACAAACATTTCACTCGCTTTGAAAATTACAAAATCTAGACTGCCAATGTGATTTTAAAAGTAATTATTTGCTTGGTGACAATTCAATACTTCTATCTGAACAGTAATTTCATGATTTATCTGTCATAGGAAGTGAAGGAATGGGAAAGGGATGGACCCTTCATCCAATGCTTCATATAAAAGATGTGAGACCCACTGTGGAACATCTGGCTGGAGATAACCAGGAAAAATTGAGATTGAATCAGAAACTATGTGTCACATGGATTTTTGTTGTTGATTATTATCCTCCCAACTCATCACTAATGTGTTAAAAGCCAATATTCACTGAACTCAGTTTTTATTGTCAGTACAAGATTTTTTTAAAGACTCTTAAAATATTCGAAACTTTTATGTCACCTTTCCTAGGTAGAATTTTAAAAGAAATTTGTAACTCACACACATATAAGTCAATTAGACTTTGACAGAGAAAAGACAAATTAATGGACAAAGAACAGGGCGTTTTTCCCCCCTACAAATGATGCTAGGAAAAATGGATATACATATGAAAAAAGAATTCAGCTACAGACTTTAAATCTTTCAAAAGTGGACTTAAATAGGAACATTGAACATAGTAAAACTCAGAATTACATAACTTTTAGAAGCATAGAAGCTATATGACCAATTTTTTTTATATACATCACCAGAAGCATGGTCCATAAAGGAAATAATTTTCATTGAATAAAAATTAAAAACTTTTACTCTGAAAAAAAAAAACTCTAGAAATAAAGAAAATACAAGCCATAATCTGGGAAAAAGTATTTGCAAAATACATACCTGGTAAAGGACTTCTGTTCAAAAACATGCAAATAACTCCAAAAAAAAAAAAAAAGAAAGAAACCAACACCTGCAGAAAAAAATGGGGGGGGGGGGAGACAACTAAAAAGTTATGAGACAGGAAGAGAAAATATGCATATGAAAAGATGAAGAGTATCACAAATCATTAGGAAATTGCAAACTCGAATGACAGCAAGTCTCCACTATACACCTATTAGAATAGTTAAAATCCCAAACACTGCCAACACCAAATGTCTATGAGAAGGCACAGCAATACATCCATCACCAGTAGGAATGCCAGCTGTTGGTATGCCAAATTGCACTACATGATTCAGCAAACATACTCCTCAAACTTTACCCAAGCAAATTAAAAAGTATGTCCACATTTAGCTGGGCACCAGTGGATCACACCTGTAATCCTAGCTATTCAGGAGGCTGAGATCTGAGGATCGCAGTTCAAAGCCAGCCCAGGCAGAAAAGTCTGTGACTTTTATCTCCAATAAACCACCAGAAAACCAGAAGTGGCACTATGGCTCAAGTGGTAGAGCGCTAGCCTTGAGCTTAAGAGCCAAGAGACAGAGCCCAGGTCCAGAGTTCAAGCCCCATGACCGACCAAAAAAAAAGTCCACAGATATAGTATTCTTGAAAAGCATTATGGAACTGGATAGAAGATCAGTTGTCATGGAGTAGCTAGAGAGGAAAGGAGAAATGAATGAGAACACAGGATTCTTAGAATAAACTATTCTGTGTGATGCTAACCTGAGGGGTTTAGATCAGACGTGAAAGATAAACTCAAAATAATATATAGTTTTCTACTGAAAATAGTACCTTGCTTAGCACAAATTTCCTTATGAAGTTTTCTGTGCCACTATTTCTCTTTAGATTATAGGGTGTATGTAGCATTTCAAACAGATTGAAGGCTTACTGGCAAAGAAAACTTTTGTAAATGTCTCCAGAACCTAATCCACTAATACACCCTAGGTTCCTTTCACAGCTCAGAGCTGTTGGCATTTTTCTTAATAGATCTATTTTATCAATATATATTACATTGGTAAGGAAGAAAAAAAACATGAAAATCTGGTGTTACAGGGAAATGAATGTACCTGAAAAACATATTAAGTGAAATAAGCCAGGCTCATGCTCAAGACAGTCTGCATTGTTCTTTCTGATATGTGGATGTTAGATATAAACATGTATGTAAACACATAAGATATAAATACAGATCTAACTCTATCTATCCATCTATCTGAGGAAAGTATGGTATTTGTAGATATCACGATGAAACCCTTTTGAACAAAAAGAACATTAAGAAGTTGAACATGGCTTTTGTCTTTCAGCTTTGAGGAGGCAAAGGTGAAGAAGCTTTCTCCTGTCATCCCGAATCCAGCCACCTCCACCATGCCACCCAAGTTCCACCCCAGGAAAATCAAAGTTGTCTGTCTGAGGTGCACTGGTGGCCAATCTGCAACACATCTGCCCTGACCCCCACAATTCACTCCCGGGTCTGTCTTGGAAAAAAGGTTGCTTATGACATTGCTAAGGCAACAGGTGGCCAGAAATTCCTAAGGATTATAGTGAACATGACCATCCATCCAGACAGGCCCAGATTGAGGTGGGACCTTCTACCTCTGCCCTGATCATCAAAGCCCTAAAGGAGCCACCAAGACAGAAACAAACAGAAAGACGTTAAACACAGTGGCAACATCTCTTTTGATGAGATTGCCCAGGAGATGCAGCACAGATCTTTAGCCAGATAACTTTCTGGAGGCATTAAGGAGATCTTGGGCAGTGACAAGTCTGTGAGCTGTAATGTTGGTGGCTGCCATCCTCATGACATCAAAGATGACATCAACAGTGGTGTGGTAGAACATCTGACTAGTTAAGAAGTACAAGAGAGACTATTTCAAGAAAAGATCATCTGACAAAAAAAAAAAACCCTGAAAATATGTGGAGTTTGGATAGCAGTAAGAACAGGGAAGGAAGGGAAGACATACAAATCTATGTACATGGCTGGGTGCTTGTGGCTTACATCTGTAATCCTAGCTACTCATGAGGCTGAGATATGAGGATCACAGGTCAAAGCCAGCCTCTTACCTCTAATTAACTACCAGAAAATCAAAGTAGTTCAGTGGCTTAAAGTGGCAGAGCACTAACCTTTAGCAAAGAGACCTCAGGGACAGCATCCAGGCCCTGAGTTAAAGCCCTACAACAGACAGAAGAAGAAAAAAGTCTAGGATTTTATCTGTTCTTGATTGTACCTATATAGTCTGAAATATAACTTTTTAAAGATTTCTAATGGGATCTTTTTCCTGATAACTCAATTATATTCCTCATTAAAACTTTTAGTGAGGAATAAAAACTCTGACCAAGCAATGACAAGTTATCTGAAATAGAAGGCAAATGCTTTGCTGAAGTACAAAAAGATGCCATCATCCAGCTTCTTGGAAAGAAGGTGGTTATGGCCTCTGTTTTAGAGCCAGGACCTACGCTGCCACCAGAAGGGCATCTCTGAGTCTAGCATAGCAAGCTCAGATATCAAGGTTCCATCCCAATGATCTCATATGTACCTGTAGCAGTAAAGTTTCAACCTCTGATCTTTTAGGAGAAAACCAACAACATGTGATTCAACAGCAAAATCTTTGGTAATCAGTGTTCCAGACTGAAGTCAAATTTTCTCTGCTGGAAAACCAGAAAGATGCCTTGTTATTTAAATAAGGTAGTAAAAATGTATGAGGACACAGTACTATTAGTTGAAATGGTACAGATATGACTTTGTACTTATGCTACCTGGCATCACATAATCTCCACACCCTTCCTGGGAAGGCCCTGAGAACAAGCATTTTAGCAAGTACAAAGGATTATAAGACACACTTTAGAAGGCAGAAGTCTCCATGTTCTAGTCACAAATTATCTGTGCGTGTATAGAAAGTCAAGTGACCTCAGGATAGAGTATGCAATTTCAAAAACATTCTTATATTAATATTAAATACTAAGACGACAAAATAATTTTATAAAAAATTTATTTCTCTATAAATACAAATTCCAACATCAACAAACAATAGTCCAGTGGAAAAATACTAGCCATTAACATTGAAAACTTTATTCTTAGTTAATAAATAGAACTTTGGCATTCAAATTTCTAGCTGTAAACCCTATTAAAAAACCAAAAACAAAAACAACCCTTTTACAAAATAGGAGGCAAAAATGACAAATTAGAAGGCATAAGCCAACCAGTGGCTTCACATTCTTTTTTATATAATAACTGTATTTCATTTTTAAATTATGAACACTGTATTTACACATGAGGTATTCCAAGTGGTTCAAAAACAGAACCTGGTATGCACACCCACCAGTCGAGGTGAATGATGACACGCTCTGCTGTGCTTTTATGTTAACCGCGAGCACCTTAGTACTTGTCACCACACCAGCGAGATGCTGAATTTTCCATGTAGGTATTTAAATAATTACTCATAGATATATGTATATATGTACACATAAATGAATACATTCGAAAGGAATTTCCTGCTCACTATTATAGAAAAGATTGAGTTCCAAAGACAGCTATCTGATAATTTCCTTCACTTTTTACTAAGTCAGCTAACCAGTTAAGGAAAAATTGATCCTTGCTTAAAGAAAATCCTTATCAAGTCTATTTACAGTACAACAAGGTGCAATAATCATCAACATTCTCATAGCTCATGTAATATAGAAAAATGTTTACTGCAGGCAAAAGGCACAAAAGGTTCTCTCTGCATACATCTGCAACTGTGTTGTTGATGACTTAATGATCTGAAACAATTATATTCAGTATTTCTTTTACATAAAAAACCCCAATCTTCCCCCTTCATGATTAAATGTATGATATAATCACATAGCAATTACCACCAATAGCATTTGGGGGCAAAAGTTGGAAATTTTATTCTTTATGTTATATAGGAGATGTTTTTCTTGGTTTGTGAACACTAAAAAGACTGTCAAAAGTAAAAACAAAATGAATTAGCTTTATGTCTGGAAGCTACAGCTATCAGCAGTTTCAAATTATATAGTCTGAGTGTGTATGGCTATGAGAATTGCTTTTTATAGGAATTATGAATTTATAAGGGATAGAAATCTACATAAGAGAATGTCAACAATTCAAAATAAAGGTATGTCTAAGCTACACTAAGCTATGTAAAAATGCAATCCAAGTACTCAGCTGCCATTTAAGAAACACTGTCCCAATAAAGCAGTTCCTTTACAAATGCCAGAATTAATTTATAAGCCCACTGGTAAACTGGGAATGTACAATACTCACATTAGCAATACTTTCATCCTTTATATTTTAAAGCCACAGAAAAAAAGCCTAATTTAGTTAAAAAAATTCTCATAACCAAAATAAATTTCACTAAGATGTAATACTGTTATTAGATACTGAATCCTATTTCAAATATAAAAAGGAGCCACACTTTAAAAAAAACAAAAAAGTTATTTCTTCCTTAGTCAAGTCAAAATTTTAAAAGGAGCCATTGAAAAAGTTACTAACAGTTTCAATAAAGTCATTCAATTTTTCTGACTTCAGGTAAAAAGATATCTATTGTGTCCTTAATTCAACTAATTTTATCTGCACAGGTCACAGGAGACTTTCATTTTGATAACTTATGTCCTGTCCATTATGTGTGACTTAAGTTAGAATAAGCTCAACTTGAAAAGACAAATAATGTTCATGCCACATGACATTTCCTGAGATAATCAACATTTAATGCACAAAAGCATAATCAAAAGGTTTCATTATCTAAGAAAATTTTCATTTGGACTTAAATTTTAGGTTAAAGTTCATCCCAGGCAGATGTCATTGTACTGCACTGTAGTTCAAAAAGAGGCAAAACACTAGTTGTACTGTTTGCCCATCTTATTTGCTTCATTGTGATACTAGTAACTTTCAACCTTAGAAGGTGTCTTGATGAAAGGAAATTTTCTGAAAAAAAAAATTAGTACTACTATCTCCCTCCCCGCTACAAATTCTCTCCCAAACTTAGTATTTACTCTTAAGGTGCTTTTAAGCTCTATGTTCTATAAGGATTACACTTAAACTATCATATCTTAACTTCTTTTTATGGGAGAAATATATTTGGAAAATGGAGTGAATTAGCAGCAGTTAGTTAATTTCTTAAATTAAAAAAATATGCCTCAAGACAAGTAAATTTTGTTTTAAAAAACTAACTTATTAAAACCAAATTGTTTTATCAAATGATGCCTACAGTAGAATAAAACCAATGACAACCATAAATCACTGGAACATGAACTAAAAACCTAGGAAATACCTAATTAAGAACTTACTAACCCAAATCAGTAATAACTTGTTTGTTAGTCCTATGACCCTAGGTGCCTTTATTTCAGAAATCTTTACAAGATGGCAGTGATTCTATTCAAAGTGAATATAGAAATATTACTTGCTGTTCTGTGGCTAATCTATGCTTGATGATCTATACTTTACTACTCTATAGGAACATTTTCAACTGACAATTTTCACAAGGCAGACTTTTTTGCATATAAGTTTTGGTATAAATTTATGATTCCTTGATTATCTTTAAAGCACTAACATAAAAAAGTGAATATATTTTCAGAAAGCCAACTACTTAGCAGTGACTAAGTCCCTCCCTAGGTCAGGGTTTGTGAATTGTAGAATGATCACAATACATTTTTTCGTCTTAGGCCAGACCCTAAGAAGAGAAAGAGGAGTGAACCAAGGCACCAAGTAAAAGGGACATGGACTACTTTACAATGTATTAAGAAACTGTTGAAACACAACTATAAAACAATTTATCGAGAGCAGTAAAGAAGTCAGAATTCTGAACTAAGTATCTTCCTGGGTTAAGTCTACTTGAAGGCCTTATCTTACTGTGTTCTGATTATTGAGAACAGGAAAATATTTTCTAGAACAATCTTAACACCTGCCATGAAAATCCAATACAAATATTATATTGCTTAATTCATATGCTATTCCCTCACTTCTTATTCAGTCTTGCCTAGGTGAAATGTGTGTGTGTCTGATGGTGCAGTGCTTTGTTATAACTAAGTATATTTAAAAGCATGTGAAGAATACTATGAAGAATAAAGTATTCTTTCCAAAATACTAACTAAACCAGACAATACTCATTTGAAAGTTTAAATGATAGCAAGTCTACTAAATATTAGTTGCATTTCATAGTAATACCCTGTACTCCAGATTAAGAATTTAGCCAAGGATTTTTTATGAAGAACACCATTCTTAACATAATATAGCTAATACATGGAATTAAATATCTTCTTGGTTTAGAGTTAATGCCAGTTTGAATTCAGATGTAAATAATTTTTGTTGGCTTTCTCTTAAAAGTAGTTTCAACTCCAAAATGAGTACAATAATGTTAGAATGGAAACATGGAGATTTGGATAAATAAGCTATTGTGCCAGAGTTGTCAGTCTTTCTTTTACAATAATGATCTGAGGACTTCATACATACATGCATATTCAAATAGAGGCATGTTAGAAATTAGTGCAAATTAAGTTAAATTTTCTTGTAATGCATTAAGTTACTTACAATGATAATGAAAACAATCATCATGTCAAAATTTCACACCTCTAGGGCAATGTACAGTCACTCTGGAAAAATAGCCAACCTATCTACTGTACTAAACTGTGATAATCAACCTGACTCCACAACCTGATCATCTTGACACACAGATTGTTTAAAACATAGATGATTTGCCTACTGTATTTTTATTAGAACACTTGCCTGCTGATGGGACTCTTCTTTACCCAGCCCTTGAAAAATCTCAAAATAAAACACAAGCTACTATATGAAAGAACTGTAAGAATAAACTGTAAGAATAGGTGCCTTTTTCAGAAGCTCTCCTTTACCCTTGAAATCCTTATTTTGTGAAAAATGCCTACAAACTCCACATGTCCATGCATACACAAACACACAAAACTGTAGGAGTAAATGAGATCCTATCTCTTTATCTGAAGGGCATTCTTCACAGCTTGGTCCTACAATCAGTAGTTTAAAAATGCAGATGTCTTTTCTTGCATACTTTAACAATTTTTTCAAATGGTAATTTGATTGTTTTGCTTGATCAGCTAAGTCTCTTCTAAACCTCCTTACCTCTTCCCCATCCCCCCCAAAAAAATTCCATAAAAACCCCTATGTTCAAGTCATGTCTCTTGCCATTTTACATTGTAATTCCTAAAATGAAATGTGAAGAACCATGACACAGCAGCATTTAACAATGGGTCATTATTGCTGTAGGACCAACACTTGATCACTGGGTTATGCAGTTGTCTCCCATGTCCTGAGCATAGCGGTCTGATATTGTAGTCCGTAATTCATCAATGTCCCTCCGTAACTGGCACACATCTGACAGTTTTTTACTGAGTGTTTCTGGACTGTGGTCATTTCCAGTCTCTTCAGCTGAACAGTTCATTGCTGTGTAAATAAAACACAGAATGAATACTTCAATTTTTGTTTGAATAAACATTTTAAGCTTTTCACCTTACCAATGGGAATAGAGTACAACACACATCAGTGAGGCTCAGGTTTAAAACATAAGTCATTCGATATTAAACACATATTACCTAGTTTGTCTTTCACTTTGCTAATTAAAATATATTCAATTTCTATAGTAATACAAATTCAACATGTTTAATGGATGACAATACTCCAAAAATGGAAAGATGTGTTCTAATGTCTCTTTTCAAGCTCAACTAGAACACTTGGTTCTTCTCATTTGGCAAAATATAAAGATCTTTTACATAGTAAAAGGAAGTATTTTTAATTTTTATGATTACAAAATGGGTTTCTTTGGCATGCAAATATCTGTTTTCAAAATATATAGCAAAGGTGCTGAGATCTACAGTCCCAAAATATCTAGTTGATTGCTAACTGCCCAATGCCTGAATAACTAGGAGGTAAGGCCTTGAGTCAGCTGATTTATTTAGTCCAGTGATTTATGTACTTAGTTATTGTGAAATAAATCTTTCCTTAAGACCCTTATTAGCACTGGTACTTTCCTGAAGGTGTGATGTCAAGTAACTTAGTCACACGAAGAAGAAAGCATACAGGCCTTACTGAAGAAGCAGTATGGATTTGCTCATTGTATGGGCCTTGAAACTAGAAAACAAAATAGCCTGACAGACTTTGAGAAACTTCAAGAAAAGTAGTATTCAGCTAAAAATGGTACAACACAAATTATATGAGAGGATTTACAAGAAATATGGTTATCTTTATTCCTAATATTTATGATGTTACATATATGACACTACACTTACTTTTGGCAGATCATTCTGACAACAATGTGAAAAACGGACTGGAGGAAGAAGAGTAAGATGGGTGAAGCAAGACTAATTCAGTTTAGGACTATGAAAACCTGAATTAGAGCAACAGCACAATAGAGATGTGAAGGTAGGACATGGATAAGATTACTTGAAGAAAATAGAGAATAAAACAAACAAACAAAAAAATCAAGTGCAGATCATATGATTCATGCCTTTAATCCTTGCACGCAGAAAGTAGAGGCAGAGGATTCCAAGTCTGAGAACAGCCTGGGCTATATAGCAAGATATATATTTGTCTCAAACAAAATGAAGTGAAACAAAGCAAAAGATAACAACAAAACTCAACAAACAATTCCTAAGGACCCAATAATAAATGGCAGAGAACTCAAAAGACTGAGGTTGAGAAGTCATAAGGGTAGAAGCAGAATTTAGAGTTTGTCATGGAAACCAAGGTGTCACAGAACTCTAAGATGAGTGGTATGCAATGCCAAAAGATAACTGAAGGAGACATTGGACAAGGAGCCAAAGGAATCAATTGTTTTTTTGACAAATTACTTGGCTGGTCTAAATGTAAGGTAAGGACTCTGGGTTGAATAAGGAGTGGAAGGAGTATACACTAGGAGATGTATGTGGTAAGATTCTGAACCTTTTATTTGTATTAGGATAGCTCCATTATTTAAAAAAAGCTAATAAATCCTACAATGAAATGTAGTATATAATGAAATAATTGAAGGGGTGATCAGTTCCAAAATGACAGGGAAACTGAGTCTTCTTGTGTTTTCTTCTTGCTCTTGAGAGCAATTTTTTTCCTTTTCTTCTCTAAAACCCTTATCGAATTCCAGCTCTTCCATAAAGCTATCACAGCTCTTTCCATGTCTCATGTTTCCACTCTCCTCTGCCCACAACTCAATTGTAGCACTTAATACAATGTTCTAATAACTCAGTTAACATGTGGGTGAGCTGTGTTCACTTTATTTGCATTACCAGCTCCTAACAGCTCAACCATTGAAGGCATCTGTTAAGTGTTTATTGAGTGGAAGTTCTCAAATATTCACCATTTTTATATATCCACGTTTGTTCATAAGCCTTACATAGTCATCCTACACTTGTTCAACTGGAGTGGATTTCCTCTTTATTACAAAGAGACCAATATTTCAATATTCTATAAATCTAGGACTGCAGTCATTCCAGCAAATGCAGCACAGAAGGTCAAGCTCACACTAGGATAATATTACAGCAGCTCTCTCTCTCACTATAGGTGTGGAAGAAGATAGAATTGAGGCAAAGACAGGAAAGTATAAAAACCAACATCATATATGACATGGCCAATACATGTAAGCAGTGAAGACTGGACCATGAGAAAGCACTGGTTAATTCTATAAAATATACACAGAATAAAGAAGTAGTAAATATTTCTTTACAAATATTTTGCCAGTAGAAGACTGAGTCATTAGTCTATGCAGCTATCATATGAAAGTAATAAAAGCTTCATTACTTGGAGCAAAGTAATTGGAAAATCACTTAACTACTGTAACAAGCCCCAAGTGCCAGATTCTGCATAAGACACATCTCCTGGCATTCTGCCTTCTGAAAAATATGCTTTCTGACTTCCAGGCATAATGAGGTCAGTTTTAGTAAGGAAGTATATCGCACTGAATTAAAGCCTCATAAATTCAAGTCAGAAGGAGAGAACCAAAATAAATGGATTTGTGAAGACAGGTTTCAAAACTGTTAAGCAATAAAGTGAGGACAAGTCATCAGCTACTTACATCTGATTCCCAGTAATAATGAAAGATTAGGCTCCTTGCCCTGAGCTCGCTGATTAAGAATACTGCACAGTGCTTTTAAGTCAAACAAACAATAGGACATTTCTTTAAACAGCTGATCAATCACAGTCAAATCAAATAATGGCCGTTTAGAATGAATGGTCTGCTGCCTAGACAGGTCCAATTCCTGGCTCTGATCTAATAAAGAGCTAGTTTCTTCTGTTTGTCTTTGGTTCTGCAAAGAATAAAGAAAATAATTTGTTAGAACAGTGGAAAAATACTCATTAAGAAGTTATACACATTAACATTTCTCCTAATTGTGTAGGTGAAATCTAAAGTCTGTCTAAAGTCAAATCAAATGTTATATTAAATGCAACATTAACCAAATTCAACTGCAAATATGCAATAGGAAAAAGAAAAAATATATAGTAGAAGTGATTCTTCTGTGCCATCTGACGTTCTCTAAGTCTTTCAGCATCTCACCTTAAACTAACTCTAAGGTAACCTTCAGGGGAAAAAAACATGAAACCAAACATCCTTGAGCTTCAGTAGTTTCTCAAAAAGAGAATGCTGGATACCCTGAAAATATTACAGGAAGAGATAGGAGAAACACTAAAGCTCCTTGGCACAGGTCAAAGCTTCTTAAATAAAGATCCAGAAACACAACAAATGAAAGAAAGGCTGGAAAATGGGAATTGTACTAAACTGCAGAGCTTCTGCATGGCAACGGACATAGCTAGCAAGATAAACAGAAAGCTCAGAGACTGGGAGAAGATCTTCACTAGCCATACAATAGACAAGGGCCTCATATCAAAAATATACTTAGAACTCAAAAACACCCACAACAAACCCTCAAATAAACAACCACCCCATTAATAAGTGGGCTAAAGAATTAAAAAGAGACTTCCCTGAAGAAGAAATAAGAATGGGTAATAGACACAAAGAAATGTTCACCATTTCTGGCCATAAACAAAATGCAAATCAAAACTACATTGAGAGTCTACCTCATCCCAGTTAGAATGACCAATATCAAGAAAATTAATGAACAGATGCTGGTGGGTGTGGCCAAAAGGGAATACTACTACACTATTAGTGGGAATATAAACTTGTTTAACTATTCTGGAAAGTATGGAGATTCTTCAGAAGAGTTCTTCATAGAGTTCCTTTATGACCCAGAAATCTCACTCCTGAGCATTTACCCAGTGATCACAAACAAGGCCATACTAAAGCTATGAGTACAACCATGTTCACTGTAGCATTATTTACCATAGCTAAGATATGGAACCAACTCAGATGCCCCTCAGTAGATGAATGGATCAAGAAAATGTGATATATATACACAATGGAATTCTATGCTTTCATCAGAAAGAACGACATCGTCCCTTTTATAAGGAAATGGATAGACTTGGAAAAAGTCTTATTAAGTGAAGTAAGCCAAATCCAAGTAAACATCGGCTCCATAGTTTCCCTCAGTTGTAACAATTAGTATATGCCTAGGATCGTCTTAGGAGAGGATCACAATAGTTCAATAGCTATGTACATATGACTACATAAAATGATGCTAATTGAAATGATCTCCATAACATGGAAACAAGGGTTTTTGTGGTTCTTTTTTCTTTTTTTAGTGTACTGTTCATAGTTATTTCTTTTGTATTTCATTTTTTTCTTCTTCTTTCATTTTTTATTCCCCCGTGGTCACTGTTTCTGATTTCAGTACCCTTTGTCTTGAATATAAGTTTACCTGATTTGGGGAAGGGAAAGGAAATCACTGAAATGGTAGGGCAAATGGTATCACTAGATACTATGTTGGAAATGAACTTTACAACTTGTGGGGGAGAAGAGATGGGGGAGGAAAGTGGGAGAAAATTAGAGAGGGGGTAACACTGTTTGGACAAAAATGTACTCATTACCTTACTTATGTAACTGTAACCCTCTGGTACATCACCTTTACAATAAAATAAAATTTTAAAAAATAAAAATAAATAAAAGCCAAGAAGTAATAATCTGAAAAAAGAGCAATGTTGGAAGAATCACAATACCTGACTTCAAATTATACTCTAGAGCCATAGTAACAAAACCAGCATGGTACAGGCAAAAATAATCCCACACAATTATAGCTATCTAGTTTTTAAAAAAGTTGCCCAAAGCATATAATGGATAAAAGACAACTAACTCAACAAATGGTGCTGGAAAAACTGGGAATCTGCATGCTTAACACTGAAAACAGATCTGTGTCTTTCATCCAATTCAGAGTGGATCAAGGATCTTAATCTAAGACATGGAACTTTCACCCTACTATAGGAAAACACTGCAAGATATAGGTATAGGTGACAACTTTCAAAAAAGACTTCAATGCCTCAGCCAATAAGGAGGAGAATAATGGGATTGCATCAAACTGAAAAGCTTTTGCACAGCAGTTACCAAAAGAAGAAAGAACTGGTAGAAAGGGAAAAAACCTTTGCTAGCTATTCATCTGACAAGAGATTAATAACCAGAATATAAAAGGAGCTCAAAACTTTAAAAAGAACCAGTAACCCAATTAAAAGCGAAAGAGCTGACTAGATGCTTCTTGAACAAAGTACAATAGTCACTAAATATATAAATAAAGAATTTTCACTTTCCCTGGCCATAAGAGAAATGTAAAATCAAACTGACATTGACATTTCATCTCACCTTAGTTAGAATGGTCATCATCAAGAGTACAAACAACAAATAATGCTGGTAAGGATGGAGGATGGAGGCAGAACCTTTACATCCTGTTAGAAGGGATGGAAATTAGTGCAACCACTACGGAAATCGATATGGAGATTCCTTGGAAAACTAAAATGTGATACAGTGTGATACAGTGACATGACTACTGGGCATATATCTGAAAAAATGTAATTAAGATGTAATTAGAAACCTTTAAACACTGCAACACTATTCCCAACAGCCAAGTTATAGAAGACTTCAGTCTAAATGCCCTACAAGTGATGAATAAAGAAAATATGAAACACACATATACACCTATATCATAATATATATCTATATATCATAATATGTAACTATATGTAATCTACATATGTATTATATATCATCTATCTATGGTATGTGTAATATATCAGGATATATCTATCATTATCTCTGCCTCATATAATTACAATAGTGGGGCTGATTAGGGGAGAGGGAAAAGGAATGATGACAAATGTATAATACTAAAATACATTTTGTTTGTGTATGAAGATGCATGAGAGAACTCACTGAAAGCTGTTAAAAAAATAGGGGAACTGGAAAAGAGAATAAAGTGAATTTGATTCAAGTTCAATACATGTATGCAAGAAATACCTTGGTGAGACTCCTTTGTACAACTAATACACACAGATAAAAACTCAAATATCCTAAGAAATATCAAAAACAAAACTTTACAAAGCCTCATATTCATTACAAAATTTACATGATGCAAAGAAGTTCTCAGCCAGTGCCACTTTAGTCAGTGGTGCTTAAATTATTGTGTGATCTGCTGTTTCTTTCACCTTCATTTTTATAAACATGTCTCCCCAAAACAAAGGGTGCACAAAAAAATGAGCTAAAAGATTATGTGTTCAATTTAAGTAATAATGTAAAAATTAAGAATTTTTTAGATAACATGTTTGTATTGTAATTTTTTAGATACCATGTTTGGAAGGTGTTACAGGAAAAATGAACCAAGCGCCCACAGTACAATACTGAGCTCTATGCATCTTGGACACGTGTGTCTTTTGCTCAATATTAGTCTCTTCGGAAACAATTTCCCAGGGATACAAAGGATCTATTATATGAGAATGTCCTTAACTTTTTAAAATTTGTAATGATGACAGTCAAAATAAGTATTCTTTGCAAAAAGTGTCTTCAAACACAGGACAAGTATTTAATCTCATACTTTATATAAGAAAACGATGAAAGAATTTGAATGTGTTGGAAATACATAATTTCCAAGTGTGAAAATAGCAAAATAAACTTCTGGCAGTGGGGAAAGAAGATAGGGAGCACGATAAAGGGTATAAAATGATTATGATACATTGTAAACATGTGTGGCAACAACGAAATCCCCTGTCCCCATAACTGAGATAAGCCACTTTAAAAAAAGTGATCTGTCCAATGATCAAGTTGCCAATGCTACATCTTTCCTTAGGGTTGTTTTGTTTACATTCAGTGTGTGCTTTATTTGAACAATACAGGCCTTAATATCCGGACAGCATTTGATTTTGCTGTTATTGGTATGCTGTATTTTAAGATGTAAGATAAAGGTTTGTTTTTCTATTGTAATTTTCTTAAGAAACTTAATAGATTTAATTAACTGGTATATTAAACTCAAATTTTCAATTTGAAATTTTTCTAATAATTAACTCCATGCAATTAATGTATACAACCCAACCACTGACTTAAAACTGTGAATAGGCAGTGAATCATTCTCCCAAGGCCATCTGATTTTCCTCTACTTACTTCAAGTACTGCTTTTGTTAATCTCTGTAGATTTCTTTCTTTTCTTTCTAGTTCTTCCACCATCTTTTGTGTGGTAAATTTCTCTTTAGAAAGTTTCTCTTGCATAGACTAGAACAAAAAAAAAGTTGTAAAACCAAGCATGTTAACACATTTAAAGGAAAATGCCAGCCTAACATAGGTAAGTAGGCATGTTGGCGTCTGAATACTTTGAGTCTTTTTCCATCCTAGTACTTTGAATATTGAACCTGTTGCCTTTAGAGCAATCTGTATTATTTATACAGTGGATAGTTCCAAATAAAAGAGAAAAATACCATCTTTACCAACAGTTTTTAATCTGTATGAGATATATCAAATCTACAGATGCTATTTAATACAACTAATTCTTATTTTATTGATTTTTTTCCTACTTGGAAGTATATTTATTTTTATATTTTTCTTATATTAATAAGATATAAAATATGAAGATAACTCTATTTCCTATTAGTTGGAACATAGCTAGTTTCTCAGTATTGAACTAAGGTCAAAGATCAGTGAGGGAGCTTATTTCATTATAAAATTAGATGCAGATACATATTAAGAAAGTTCAGAGCACATCAAAGCAGCACGGAAGACATTTTATGGATATTTCAGCTGATTATTGTGATTTTCAAATAAATACACACCAAATTCTGTAGTTGCTTGTGAAACCCACATGTTTCTATCTTCCTTATTGCTTTGGGTAGACCACATCAGTAAACATACAACCAGAGGAAGAAGGATATCATTTTCCTCCGGGTCTCTCTATTTTTAACTCTGAAGATATTTCAATACACTACTGACCACCCAAACAGCACAAAATATTTTCCCCCCTCTCATTACCTCTGGACGGGATAAGGAACACAACCATTAGCATGGATTAAGACTACATGTAACCTGAGGGGACGAGTGGGGTTAGGATGGAAGAGGGGAAAGAATGATGGAAAGGGTGACACTGATCAAATGCACTGTACTCATAAAGTGACATGTTAAATTGAAACCCCTTGTACAAGCAGCTAAAGATAATTAAAAAATTGAAAAAAGAAAACTACTAAATATTAAGCCGTTTTCTTGGCAACAAATACTCAAACATGTCTTCTTGAATTTTAATAGACTTCAAAAAATATATTTAATATTTTAGCAAGTGGTTAAAAATAAAGGAAACATTAACATATATTTCCTCATATGGAAACTTGTTAATTTTCTACAAAAATGCATATAGAAGCACGAAGGGTTATCAGAATCATCTAAATCATATACAGAGTTTTATTTACCTAGCTGGATAGAGCTTTCTCACTTCAAGACATTTTTGGATTATAATCAAGAGTTCAACATATACTTAAATTCTAAGGTTTTGTTGGAATGTAGAATGCAGAATATAAACTACTCTAAAACTTACATTTTAACAATGAAATCTAAACTCAGGGATGTGTTTCCATAATGCTGTAATTCCTTAAAAGCTTATGATGATTTATATTTTTACCAATTCATGTTGAGTGTGACTACTGTGTAGTTTGAAGACTGAATTGAAATCAGTGATTAAAACAGGTAATCTTTTTCATTTAAATAAAACAAATGTTTCACAATAGTGTTATTTGTCCAAGAAGGAAAACTGGACTTGGGAAATAACACTAAGCTTAACATCTTAGGTGGTTTGGGCTTGAGAGCATTTATTGAGAAGTGCTTTAATAAAGGAAAGTGCTCAGGACCTAAAGGGTCCTGCTTCTGTAAAAATTGCTAGGATACTAGAGTGAGAATGCTAATACTCTCTGGCTGTAACATTTCACCTAAAAACATTACTTACTTCTTATCTAAAACTGTATGAGAAAAAACATATACTTAAAGCTTAAGGGAGAAAAAAATAAATTTTTAGTAATCTTCTCATGGCCTTACCAGATTAAAATTAAAACAGAATAAAATCTGATTATTAACTGGCTTTCCAAAGGAAAGTACAGTTAACTCAATATATAATATTCTTTCTTTAAAAAACTCTAAAAAAAACTCTATTCTAACTACAGAAGGAGGTTTCTGTAATTCCTTTTTGGTACTTTACCCAAAATTTATATGAGCTTTGAAATCTGCATTCATATTTATCAATGCAAATTATAATGTATTTGACATGTAAATCCATAATACCAAATTACTAGTTATTTTTACTATGCGAATAATGAAGAAAACTTTTTTTTTTGAGGGGGGAGGTCTGGTCGTGGGACTGAACTCTGGCCTGGGTACTGTCCCTCAGCTCTTCAGCTCAAGGCTAGCGCTCTACCACTTGAGCCACAGCGCCACTTTCTGGCTTTTTTCTTTGTGCTTATGTGGTGCTGAGGAATCGAACCCAGGGCCTCATGCATGCAAGGCAAGCGCTCTACCACTGAGCCACCTTCCCAACCCTGAAGAAAACTTTTGATGGCCATTTCAGGTTTTAATTTGTTTTATTATGAATAACGTGCTGAGCATGGTGGCTTATACCTGTGATCTTAGCTACTTGGAGATTAGAAGACTGTGGTTTCAGGCCAGTGCCAGAAAAAAAATTCCCAAGACCTCATCAATATAAAAAAATTAAGCTATTATCACAGCTACATAGGTAAGTATAAAATAAGAGGACTTCAGTCAAGGCAAAAGTAAGATTCTATCTAAAAAATAACCAGAAGCTCAGCGGTAGAGTGCATGCCTTGCAAGCATGAGGCCCTGGGTTCGATTCCTCAGCACCACATAAACAGAAAAAGCTGGAAGTGGCGCTGTGGTTCCAGTGGTAGAGCACTAGCCTTGAGCTGAAGAGCTGAGGGACAGCGCCCAGACCCAGAGTTCAGGCCCCATGACTGGCAAAAAAAAAAAAAAAAAAGCCGGGCGCTGGTGGCTCATGCCTGTAATCCTAGCTACTCAGGAGGCTGAGATCTGAGGATCGCGGTTCAAAGCCAGCCTGGGCAGGAGAGACCGTGAGACTCCTATCTCCAATAAACCAGCAGAAAACCGGAAGTGGCGCTGTAGCTCAAGTGGTAGAGCACTAGCCTTGAGCTGAAGAGCTGAGGGACAGCGCCCAGGCCCAGAGTTCAAGCCCCACGACCGACAAAAAAAAAAAAAAAAAAGGCTAGAGGAATTGTGGTAGAGTGCCCATTTATCAAGAGCATGATCTTGTGTTCAAATTCCAGGGCTGTAAAAAGTTTAAATTTTTTTAAAAAAGAAATTAATAATACATGCTATTTTACAAAGAATTTTACAATGTATTTTTGAAGTCTCTTAAGATTTAAAAACATAATTGCTAAAAGTGGTCATAGTTTACTATGTATAAATGAAATAACCCATATTTGCTGAGGTATTTGGTATTCTGAAATTAAGTACAGTCACATCAATATTCTTCTGTATTTTTGCCTTTCTCTTTTTCATTTTGAGGCCACCAAAAGTAAAATCATGCCAGGTGCTGGTGATTCATGTCTATAATTTTAGATGTTCAAGCCTACCTAGGCAGACAAATTGGAAAGACTCATTGCCAATTAACCAGCAAAAGCTAGAAAGATATGGCTCAAGTGTTAGAGCTCTAGACATTAGCAAAACCAAAAGTGAGAGCGTGAGAGCATGGTACCCTAGTTCAAGTCCCAGTCCTTGGAGGAAGAACATGAGGAGATGAGTAATAACCAAGGACACAATTCTGAAGTTAAATCACATAAATTAGAATCTTAGCTGTAAGCTTGGGTAATACCTCTCTAAACCTCTGCTCTTCTCTGTAAAATGTTACATTCTAAGATTATTGGTGATATTCAGAGACCACAAATATCAGTCAGAAAGCAGTTCCTATAAAACGCAGTATCATCACCATTCTTTCATTAGCTAACAAACACTTTACTTGGCATCAAAGACTCTTTATGTTTCACTTTGACTCACAGGTGAATAACTAATTTCCTTATTCTTCTGGAGTGATATAAAAGGGGTTCACAAATATTCTGCAAAAACTAAAAAATAAGGAATGTACCAATACCATAGAAGTCTCTTATTTTAGCTTTCTGCACATAGGATTTAACACCATCATAAGAACTCTGATTTTATGTTAACTATCATCTTGCAATCAGATGTAACTTTAAAAACAGTCTTCCTGAGAGTTCTTTTAGTATGACATGAGAAACTTTGCAGGCTGCTCCCCAGAGAAACTGGTGAATGGGAAGTGGTGCTGTGGCTCAAGTGGTAGAGCGCTAGCCTTGAGCTGAAGAGCTGAGGGACAGCGCCCAGGCCCAGAGTTCAATCCCCATTACCAACAAAAAAAGAGAAACTAGTGAACATTGTAGAACATTAAAGTTTCTAGAAATCACTCTAAGAGCATATAGTCAATGAAGAAACATGTATTTAAAAAAATCTACCAAAACTCAGTAGGAAGGCAAGAGACTGTGGAATAGGAAATATTTAGCTTCTTGCAGCTCAAGACATAAACTGCAGACTTGGTATTGTCAATAACACAACTCTTCCTCACAGCTCACAAGTGGTGATTATCTTCCCATTATCATTTATCTATTCTACATCTAGCTACCTGTACCTGAGGCTGTTACAGCCAATGCAGGCAAGAAATAGGGGGCTCCTTTCTCTCACCACTGAGTGCCCTTCACAAGATGGAGACTTTGTTATGGCTTTGGCACCACTAAATACGGGGGCTCTTGTCTTTTTTTCTGTTTTCAAGTATTATGGCTATTCAAAGCCTTAAGCCAAAAGAAATGCCATATTTAGGTTGTCAATCAAGAACTGAGAGTGCCAGAAGACAGAATAAGAGCTTCAGGTGTGTACATAAATAATGGTACCAGAAACATTTATATGTTTCATTCCAAAGTAGTGCATTGCTTTTGTTACTTGTCATAAAGGCTTTTGATTTTTCAGCCTATAAGTGAAAGAAGATTATTTCAATTTCAGAGGTTCTTTTCCCATTTCATGTACATACCAAGAGAGAAAAATGTTGTTAAAAGTTGAAGTCAGCTGGGTGCTGGTGGTTCACACCTAGAATCCTACTTAGGAGGCAGGGATCTGAGGATTGTGACTTGAAATCAGCCTCAGTAAGAAAGTCCATGAGGCTCTTATCACTAATTAACCACCAAAAGATGGAGATGGGTCTGTGACTCGTGATAAGAATGCTAGTTTTGAGTAAAAAGTTCAGGGACAGCACCCAGGTCACACACCAGCATACACACATACATGCACACATTCTTTGTATCAGAAAGAATGATACAGCCCCATTTGTAAGGAAATGAAAAATCTTGGAAAAATATTAAGTGAAGTAAGCCAGACCCAAAGAAACGTTTCCCTCATTGGTAATGTCTAGGATAGTCCTAGCAGAATATCACAATAGCTCAATAGTTATGTAAATAGGACCATATAAAATGATGCTATCTAAAGTGAACTCCATGATATGGAACCCCCCCCCCCCCCCCCCCCCCCCCCCCCGCCTCCGGTTTGGTTTATCCCCTGTTGACACTGTTTTGAATTTTGGTACCCTGTGTCTTGTATATACATTTACCTGATATAAGGAAGGGAAGGGGAAAAACAAAATGGGTGAGACAAAGGACAAAGGGTGAACCAATGCAACAGTGATTCAAGACACCATGTAGGAAATGAACTTCACAAGTTCATTGGTGGGGGGTATGGGGGGGCAGTTGGGGTAGGAGGAAGTGGGAGAAAATTTGTTGTTGTTCAACAACAAATGTACTCATTGGGCTGGGAATGTGGCTTAGTGGTAGAGTGTTTGCATGTTCGAAGCCCTGCGTTCAACTCCTCAGTACCACATAAACAGAAAAAGCCAGAAGTGGCGCTGTGGTTCAAGTGGTAGAGTGCTAGCCTTGAGCAACACAGAAGCTCATTTTTTTTTTGGGTCCGGTCGTGGGGCCTGAACTCTGGGCCTGGGAGCTGTCCCTCAGCTCTTCAGCTCAAGGCTAGCGCTCTTCCACTGGAGCCACAGCGCTACTTCCAGCTGTTTTCTTTTTTGCTTATGTGGTGCTGAGGAATCGAACCCAGGGCCTCATGCATGCAAGGTAAGCGCTCTACCACTGAGCCACCTTCCCAGCCCCCAAGAGCACTTCATTTTTGACTCTAACTAGTATATGTCTGAGACAAGCAGAAACAGTCAGATAAGTTGATGTTAGGCAAAATGAACCCCAAAATGAGTATTCAAATGTTTTTTTTCTTTCTTGTGATTGTTTCTAACATATTTATAAGATGATTTCTTTGTTGCTTTGCATGTCCTTCCCCATGGTATAACCCGTTTTCATTGTATTTGATGTTGGTATAATTTGTGGAGGGGAAGGGCAAAAACAAACCATTTAAATAGGGATACATTGCAACAATGAGATGTATAAGTCGTTATGTTGAAAAACGAACTTTACAACTTTGGCTGGGCCGGGCCAAGGCCAGGGCCCTGGGGGGGGGGGGGGGGGGGAACAGGAGATGGGAAGGGATGGGAAGGGAAACAAAGGAGGAGGCAACAATGCTTGGTAAGAAATGTACTCATTACCTTGCCCATGTAATTGTAACCCTTCAATACAGTATTTTCACAATAAAAAATTAAAAAAAAATACATCCTGAACAACCATATAAATCTTGTGACCACTAATGACACAAACAGGCCCAGAAACATACTTTCATGATCCAAGTAAGGTTACAGTGTTCCATCCCAGACACAGGAAATTGTTTTGCAAATTTTCACAAATTTAACCTATTTTAATTATGCAAACCATGTGTGGACAGCAAACACATAACATGAACAGAGCAAGGGTCTCCTTCTAAGCACAAAGACTAGGGAAGATCTTTTTTTAAAGTTCCTTTTCTTTGTTTGATAGAATTATTTGGCAGGTATGTTTTTAAAAATACTAATTATGGATGAGTACTTTTGTATTTCATTCAATGAAACAATTAGCTAAGTGTTTTTAAAATCAAGTTTATTGTAAGCAAGAACCTCATTTTTGATAGATCACAAAATTAAGATAACAAAATAGATAAATGACACAGTAACAACAAGAAAGCATTAAAGCAATTGATATTTATTCAGCTTAAGGAATTTATATTCTATTTATGTCATTTTGTTGTATTATAATCTATTTTGCCACTATTTCTACTAAGAAAACCTACTAAAGGCTTTATGAGAGATATGCTAAAAATTAAATAGAATCTCATGAGAATAAGGAAATACCTTCTCTTGATGTTATTAATAGAATTGATTGTCAACAGTCTTAAGACCAGCAATTCCAATCATGTCTGTAAGAGTAAATTGTCTTGGGGCTGGGAATGTGGCTTAGTGGTAGAGTATTTGCCTACCATATATTCAGTACCACATAAACAGAAAAGGCCGGAAGTGGTGCTATGACTTGAGGAGAAGTTCAGGAATAGTGCCCAGGCCCTGAGCTCTAGGACTAGCAAGAAAAAGAAAAAAGAGTAAACCATCTTAATGACCTCCCTCCCACGTATCATTCTGTCTCTTGTGGTATTCACATGACTCAATGATAGCTGTCAACTCAGACAGGCCACTTCAGTTCATAAGTTCTTCCAATGACAAAATACTTACTATTCCAGAAAACAGATGAACATAAACTTTTTCTCCCTGCATTTTCTGGTTAAAAATACAAATTTGGTAACAGCTAGCCTGAAACCGACTTATGAAGGAGGTAAACTATGCTTCTGAAAACCAAATAGGAAGGAAGGTAGAATCCAATGAGAAACTTATATCACACTGAACCATAATATCTATGAAAATGACAAAAAAAAGTTCAAATGTCTTTTTATACTGCATAGCAGAAAAGCAAACTGAAGAAGTTTAGCTCTACTGGTTACACACACACACACACACACACACACACACACACACACACACACACACTCACTCACAATTTCTGAAAGATCAATGGGTAAATGAGGTATTCTAGCCAGTTAACATCATCATCTTGAGGTGAAAAATTTGTGTTTTTATGAGACTTAATATTTTTACATGAAGTACTTATCTTCTATGTTCAACAATATAGTATCCCTAGTAGAAGATCCATTTCTCCCAACTTCCCAAGCTATGAACTGAACTTGTCTGTGAATCATGTAAGTACCTACTTTGCTTCAGGTTTGAGGTAGCAAAACATAGCATTTTTGAGTACAAAAACAATGTCTTGTTTTTAATCACCTCATCTCTTTTGAGATTAGATTTTATCATCTCTTTTGGGATTAAGTTTTAACTTTTGGAATAACTATTTTAACTTCTAGAATAACTTGTTCATACGCAAAGCCATGCAATACTCCAAACTGTTTAAAACATCTTCAAACAAATTTGTTCTTCTAAGTAGTTTACAAGGGAATAAAGAAGCAATAAAAAACACTACGCACTCCAAAATGGAAAAATGTAGAAATGGCAGGGAATGCTGAAAGGATGCCAGAATGAAAGGGATAGGCTGAGAAGTGTGGGTGACAGAACTCTCAAAAAAAAAAAAAAAAACTATTGGAGACAAAAAACATAAAGTCAGTGAGCTGTGAAAGTCTTTCCAGATGAAAATGAGGTATAAAGATCAAATAAAAACAAGTAGTCTTCTATTAGCTCACTAAACTAACTATAGTCTTCTATTAGATCACTGGTGATCACATATATTCTCAGTGAGGATAAAATAGGGGGATAGGGGATAGCCAAGGAATATAGAACAATCTTTATATTTTTTTGAAAAGCTGATTCATTCAATAGAATTTTCTTTGAAACAACTAAAAGATCTGTAAAACATCTGTAAATTTACCTCAAGTGCAATTAATATTACTTTTACATAAACTATATAACTATATTTAATACCGTTATATAAGCAGTAGCAGTAAATAAGCAAATAGCTCAATTTAGTGTAAAAATATAGCTTACCTGAATTTCTAAAGTCATTCTGTTCATTTCATCTTGTTGGTTATCTATTATCTAAATCACAGAAAATAAAGTTAGCATAATCAACTCAGTTTTTTCTATTGCTACTGAGAAGGACCAATATTTTACTAGTTTAGCCGTAGAGTTCCTGCCTACCAAGCATGAGGCCCTGAGGTCAACCCCAGTGCCTTCACAAAAACACAAAGCATTGGGGCTGGGAAGGTGGCTCAGTGGTAGAGCGCTTGCCTTGAATGCATGAGGCCCTGGGTTTGATTCCTCAGCACCACATAAGCAAAAAGAAAAAAACCGGAAGTGGTGCTGTGGCTCAAGTGGTAGACCGCTAGCTTTGAGCTGAAGAGCTGAGGGACAGTGCCCAGGTCCAGAGTTCAGACCCCACGACCGGACCCCCCCCCCAAAAAAAGAAAGCATCAATAGTCTAAAGAATGCTAAAAAAAAAAAAAAAAGCATAATTAAAAATACCTTTACAAATGGCCTGCTGTACTTTTTCAAAAGTGTTTATAGTAAACATGCGTTAAATAAAGATTTGATTCACATATGTAAAACTTCCTGCATTACATAATAAAACTCAATTTATTAAAAAAATTGAAATAGACTTCGAATAATTTAGGAAAGGAAAAGATATCCTTTAGCTTTTGTTTAAATTGAAATCACATTTTCTTAGACACTCAAAGTCAAAATTTTAAATTATAAATTACATAAACTACTAAATTATATACATGTATCCACATAATATAGATTTCATGTTTATTATCAAGGTACTTACTAACCTTACTTGCAGTTTCATTTTGTTCTCTGAGATTATCATTTTCATTCTGAAGCTGCTTTGCATCTAACATGGGAAGACGAATTCCATCTTCTAGGCATTTTTCTACTTTTTGTTGTAAACTGTTAGTTTTAGAAACAAAAACTATGATGAGATAAGCCACATTTGCTGACAAGCAAGACTACATAATAAAAACTATATGTATATTTTATATAAACATGAAAGGGCCATAATTAGAGGTTGATCCTCTTTTCAGAAATGGCAAATACACACCCAGAATTGCTTTAGGCTGTAACACTCTGGGACCATTGTTTACAAAAACTTTACAACTTAATTTGTGGATAATAGGGATTGAGGAAGAAGAAGAGCAGACAATTAAGGATATAGAAAATATATTTAATATATATATAGCACACAAACAAAAATCCCAAATACTCAAAAAAAAATCCCATCCAGGTACAAGAGGCTTTTAGAACACCTAACAGACAAGACCAGAAATAGTCTCCCACTGCCATACTGTGATTCAAACTGCTTCAGTAGAAAATGAGAGGATACTTAAAACTGTCATATAAGACTGATTACCTAAAAGGAAAAACAGAATAACTGCAGATTTCTCTACTGAAACCCCAAAAAGCAAGGAGGACTTGGTATGACATATATACCAAGCAATGATATATATATACTCAAACAGCTACCAACCAAGAATACTGTATCTAGCCAAACTTTTATTCATAACTTAAAGGTAAATAAAAACATTCCATATGATAAAAACTAAAACTAAAAACTAAAAATAAAATTTATCGCCACCAAACCAGCACAACATATGATACTCAAACGATGTCCTACATACAGAAAACCAACACAAATACAAAATAGGCATCAAAAATAGATTGTACAAGATGAGCAGATAGATATAGTAAGAATAGAAGAGACCCAACCCTAAAAAATAGTCACATGACAAGAGCTACCACCATACTCTCAGTTCTAACAATATGAATGGGCTCAATTCTCCAATCAAAAAAAGTGTGGGTGATCAGATCAAAAGACATACCCATCTGCTGCCTAAAAAGAGACATCTGACAAAAACAAGTATCTATGTACGGTGAGAGGCTACAACAAAGTCAAGAAAACAGCTGTTATCAACAGGCTGGAGTAGCAACATGCATTTCATATAAAACAGACTTGAAATTAAAATTAGTAGGAAGAAACAAAAGAGTACATAAAAATAAAGGGAACGCTCCGCATAATTCTCAATTTCTACTCACCTAACATTTGTGCTTACAACTTCATCAAATGAATACTACATGACTTAAAGCACACATCAATCCAAACATATTGATCATTGGTGACTTCAACATATCACCATCACCTTTGGATAGATCATCCAAGCAAAATCTTAGCCAAGAAACCTCAGAGCTAAATAGCTGCAATGAACATCTAGACTTAATATCTACAGAGTCTTTCTTCTAGCCATATCAAAATTTACATTCTTCTCAGGAGCCCATGAACATTCTTCAAAATAGACCAAGCCCTAGGTCACAAAGCGAAATCAAGAAAATCAAAATTATTTCCTGTATCCTGTCAGATAACAACAGAATAAAATTAGGGTTCAACAGCAAAAGCCATCACTGATGATAAACTCATGGAAAGTGAACAACATATTCCTAAGTCATCAGTGGGACACAGAAGAGTTAAGAAGGGAAATATAAATGAAATAAAAAAATATTGTGTATATATAAATGAAAATACACGTAAATGAATACACAATATAAATGAATATACATGAATGAATAAAACAATATAATATAAATGAAAATACAAAATACAGCTTCTCTGGGATATAACAATGGTAGTACTCAGAGGAAAGTTTATAGCTATGAGAGCCTATACCAACAAATTAGAGAAATCCCAACCCAATTCTCTAATGATGCACCTGTTTTTCTAGCAAAACAGGAACAAGCCAAACAAAACCAATAGAAATAGTAAAAGATCAGAAGCAAATGAATTAGACACTCAAAAAAAAAATACAATGAGTTGGTTCTTTGGGAAAAAAATATACAAAAAGTTGGTTCTTTGAAAAACTTAAAAAAATTGACAGACCTTTAACAAATGTAATTAAGAGAAGAAATAATTCAAATAAAATCAGAGATCACAAAGGGAACATCACAACAGAAACAAGTAAAATTCAGAATGTTATAAGGGAATTCTTTGAAAATCTTTACACCAGTAAATTGAAGAATCTGGCAGAAATGGATGTATGCCTAGAGACAATCAATATGCCTATACTGAGCCAAGAATGATATAAACCAATTAAATAGACCCATAGCAAACAATGAAACTGAAATAGCGTAAAAGACCTCCAATCCAATAAGAGCCCAGGATCTGATGAATTAACAATCCAATTCTATAAGGCCTTCAAGGAGAACACCAATATTTCACAAACTCTTTAATAAAATAGAAAGAGAAGGATCACTATCAAACTCATTCTATGAAGTGAGCATTACACTCATCCCTAAACCAGATAGGATAGGGACACACCAAAGAAAGAGAACTATAAACCTATTTCTTTGATGAACACAGATGCTCTCGTGCATGCGCGCGCACACGTGTGTGTGTGTGTGTGTGTGTGTGTGTGTGTATGTGTGTGTGTGTGTGTGTGTGTGTATGTATGTGTCTTCCATTGTCTTGTTCAAATTTTTACTATTCTCATCTAAAACTTTTGGCAAACTGTTAGTATGGCTTCAAAATGTTAATTAACCACTGAAATCATACAACACATCTTCAAGGAAAGTAACCAATATTAATGATAAAATAACGGCTTTTAAGTAAAATACGTGATGAAAAATATGAGCAAAAATGTAAAAGAATTTGAAAAGTTCTCTTACCTTTGAACAGAGGTTACCAGCTCCTTTTCTTTCTTTTTCTGGCATATTAGCTGTGCTTCTTTGTCCTGACACTGTTTTTTGAGCTCTTCAAGTTTCTTTTCTGTATCTGACAAAGTCTCTTGTAAATTCTTATTTTTTTCTTCTAGAACCTGTAGCTAAGGAGAAATTTTTTACAATTCACAACACATGTAATGTTAAATTCTCCTATTAAAAATACTATTTTCAAGAGTTAGTAGACTTATTGCTAAAATAATATTATCTTAATTTTATCTAGAGTAGTTAATAAGGTTACTTCTTTGTGTGAAAGAATATTAAGATAAAGAAGAAAATGGAGTAAAACTTTTCTACAAGACAGAAAAATATGCTTGTATTTTTATCTTTAATTGTGGCAAAATGCATATAACAAAACTGATCACCATAGTCAGGTACCTGTAATCCTAGCTACATGATGCTGAGACCTGGAGGATTGATTTATGTTATGAAGCTAGCCTGGTTAGACAAGTCCATGAAAGCTTTAATCAGGGTTTAGGGGCTGGGAAGGTGACTCAGTGGTAGAGCACTTGCCTTGCATGCCTGAGGCCCTGGGTTTGATTCTTTAGCACCACATAAGCAAAAAAACGAAAAAAGCCAGAAGTTGCGCTGTGGCTCAATTGGTAGAGCGCTAGCCTTGAGGGACAGCACCCAGGCCCAGAGTTCAGGCCCCATGACTGGATCCTCCCCCCCAAAAAAAAAACCCCCCAAAAAAAAACAGGGTTTAGAGACATAGCTCAAGTAGTAGAGAACTAGCTGAGCAAGTAAGCTGTAATAAGCACAAGGCCCTGAATTCCTTAAAGTATAGTCAAAAAATAATAATTATTGCTCTAATCATTAGTTTATATAACTCACTAGTGTTAAAGTCCACATTATTGTTAATGTCCAGAACTCATCTTGAACAACTAAATACTGTATCATTAGACAACTTTCCATTCATCCGTTAACCTGTTTCCTTGGAAACAACCTTTCTACTTAGCTGTCCTCTAATTTGAACATTTTTGAACCTCATATAAGTAGACTCATACAGTAGTTGTCTTTTTGTGACTGGTATATTACACTTCATATTTTCCAAGCTGATCTATGTTGTAGCATATGCCAAAATTTCATTCCTTTTTAAGGTTGAATCATATTCCAACTCTATGCATTACACCCATCTTCTGCTTATCTATTAATCCATCCACAGACACTTGTCTTGGCTCCATCTTTCAACCTGTATGAATAACGATATTATAAACAGAGTGGATGACATCTGTTCAGGGCTGTTTTATTAGGTATACAGTGATATATGATCCCATGGTTCTTAAATCTACATCACTCTCTGTTCCTGTTCATGAAACTTCCTGTGGTCTTTAAGTTTCTTCCTGATTTTACCTTCTTGATCTTACAACTTGGAAATTAATTTTAAAAGAGAACAAAGAATGCTATTTTTTAGATCTTAAGAACATACATAATACTGACAGTCTAGTGATTTCCAACTTGAGTTGGATTTTACATTTGGAAATGTTTGTTGACATTTTTTGTTTAGGAGAGGGGAATAGTGCAATTAGTACCTAGTAGGCACAGCCAAGAAGAACTGATTACAAGTAAAATGCATCCTTCAATGCATAGAGAGCTTACTTCTATGAACAAAAAAATTTCTGCCCCAGCATATCAATATTTCTTCTCAAAAAGAAGTCAGAAGGGTGAACTGTGGGACAGTTATGAATAGAGAAAATAAATTGAATGTCTAGAAAAAATATTCAGCAAAAGGTCTTGAAAAGACCCTTGAATCTCAGAGAATATGGAAAAAACCCTCATCTGGGGAGTGTGCATGGGACAGGGTTATCAGATTGGTTTAGAAACTACCTTTTAAGGAAGAACATTAACAGAGATTAAATTAAGAAGGTAACCCTATATTGACACCAAGAGAAATTCATTCTTACATGAACAGAGTTTCTGATGCAAATTAAATCCTGAAAACAGGAATTAAACTTTAATATACAATAAGTCAAATTGCTAAAGAATTATCTTAAAAACAACATTTTCTTCAAGAGATGGGCATTTTATGTTATATTACCTGTAGGCTCTGACGCTGCACATCATCTAGAGTTGGAAGATCAGCTAGGTACTTTTCCAAGGTCTCAATTCTTCTCTGCTTTTCTTTGTTTTGTTCAGCTTCCTTCTGGCACTTCTTTTTCAGGCTATTGATGTATCTGTCTCTTGTTTTAAGCTAAACAAAAAGATTTTAAGGATCTTCAGTAGTTTCGAATCATGAAAAAAATAACAAAAACCATCTCTTCATTTGTGTCTGTTTAAGCTGTTTATATCTTCTTGTCTTAATTTTAGTGCATCATATACATCTAGAAATATATTCATTTCTTCTGGGTTTCCGATATGTGAGAGTTCAAAAGAGTCCCTAATGATCCTCTGAGATTCAGGGCTGCTTGTTGTAAACTCTCCCTTTCTATTTTTATTAATTTGGGACTTCTCTTCCTTTTGATTAGTCTGGCTACAATTTTATTATCTTTTCAAAAATCAACTACATATTTCATTGATACTTTGTATTTTCCTTTACATCTTCATTTCATTCATTTCTCCTCTGATCTTGACTATTGCCATCAATAAGTGTCAGGTTTGGCTTATTCTTATTTTTCTAAGACCTTGAGATAATTGAGATTACTTTGATTTTTTTTTTCATGGAGGCACTCATAGCTGTTAAGTTTCCCTTTTACAACTATTTTTTCTGCAGCCTACAGGTGCTGGTGAATTATGTTTTCATTGTTCTATGATTCCAGGAGTTTTTAATTATTCCACTTATTTCTTCAATGGCTTAATGACCATTCAAAGTGCATTGTTAAATCTCCATGTGTTTGTACAGTTTCTGTAATTTTTCTACAGAAAACGAATTTCTATTTATTCAAATACTATTTAAGATTGAAGGAATTAATTTAATTTTTTAAAGATTTGTTAAGACTTGCTTTGTGGCCTGTAATTTAATTTGGAAAAAATTCTCTGATCTGCTGAGAAGAGTGTACATTTTGAAGCAGCCAGATAGAATAGTCTATAGAAGTCTATCGAGACCATACAATCTATGGCACAGTTTAATTTTCGAGTTAAACTGATTGTTTTCTGGATGATGGAAGTTTATTATTGGTTTAAAAGTGGTCTGAAAGTCACCATTCTTTTGGCATTTCTTACTGGGTCTACACTCAGTACATATAAACTTGCAATTGTTACAACTTCATGAAGGATAGTTCTCTTCATTAATACATAGTTGCCTCCTTTATCATCTGATTAATTTTGACTTGAAGATTTTCATATCTACTTTGAATATACCTACTGTCTGTGAAAACACAGCAAAGCCAGAAAGGGCAAACGAATGTTGTGTGGACATATGCATGTATCCTTGGCTTTTGGCTGCTTATTCTAAATCAAAGCTTCAGTTGCTAACTTGAATACTGCCATGAACATTTTATTTTTCAGTACTTTATCTTCAATGATAATGAAATGAGGAATGATAGACTCAATCATAAAAGAAAGAGTTCTTTCTATAGGTCACTGAAAGTTTCACTAGAAGACAGTATAATACACAGAGGTCTCTTAATCCCTCAAGGAAATACTTATGTTTTGTAGATAGCACACGATTTCTCATATTTTGGTACACAATGAATCACTCCAATATAAATGCCTCACCTGGTATGACACCTGGCACAGAGAAAATGACATATTCTATTTTGAACGAATGTGATTAGTCTAATAAAGCTTTATCAAATATACCTACCTTTTCTTCCAGTTTTTTCTTCTCTTCACTAAACTGGTTTATCCTTTGTTTCAGGAACTCATTGAGTTGTAAAACCTCTTTCTCACTGGATGCAAGCTTTTGCTCAAGTTCCACTTGCTGGGGCTGGGACACTGACTGTTCTAAAAATGTAGTTTGGAGTGAAGTGTTCTCATATTGTGGCTATTCCAGGGGAAAAAAAGAGGAGGTTAATACTGTAAATTTGTTTCTTTAGAAACAATAGCAAGAAAGAAAAAAGATATTTGTGTCCCTATCTTGGGGTTCATTTCACTTAACATCATCTTATATGGTCATATGTACATAGCTTTTGGCCTTTTCTGCTTGTCCTACACATGTACTAGTTATTGCTAGTTATTGCAAATAAGGGAAACCATGGGATCTATGTTTCTTTGGGCCTGGCTTATTTCACTTAATTTTTTCCAAGTCTTTCCATTTCCTAAATTCCAGTGTGTGTGTGTGAGTGTGTGTGTGTGTGTGAGTGTGTGTGTGTGTGTGTGTGTGTGTGTGTGTGTGTGTGTGTGTGTGTGTGTGTGTGTGTGTGTGTATCTTCTATATACACTTCTCTAATTCAGGGAGGGGAAGGGAAAAAAATGATACAGGTTGACCCATTGTAACAATGAGATGTACAAAACATAGGTTGAAAACAAACTTTACAACTTCAGTGGGGGGGGGAGGGTAGTTGTGCAGATGGGAGGGAAGGGATGGTAGGGGGAAAACAAAGGAGGAGGCAACAATGCTCAATAGGAAATGTACTCATTACCTTGCTCATGTAACTGTAACCCCTCTGTACAGCATTTTACAATAAAAAACATATAAAAAATAAATAAAAAATAAAAAAGTTTGTTTCTTTAGGACAGATTAGAGCTTCATCTTATATAAAAAGTATAAACTTCTTTAACAGAGAGGCCTTGTATTAAATCCTACCTCTCCTGCTTCTAAATGTGTATGATGACAAAAGTAAATTACTATCTCTAAGTCTTTTCTCATTCATAAAATAGAAATAATAAAGCCTTGTTCCGAAGTGTTTTGTGAGGAATAGATTTTGTTTCTTACAAATAACAGAAGCTTAATTGGCAACTGATATTGGTTTAAAAGTATGCATAGATAAACAGCACATCATATAAGTATATCATGTTAAAAATTGGGGAAGTAAATAAAAAGTAATAAAAATTTTCTTCTCATGTGATCATTTCTAATACCAAATTCAGTAAGCATTACTAGACTGTTTCTCCAACTAAAAAGTAAGGCTCGAGAAATTAGATTTTTGTCCATCTTAACGTGGCCTCCCATTTTTCTTGTTTAAACCAATGTCTGGCATAAAACAAGTATTTAAAAAATAATTGCTAAAAATGGGAAAAAAATGTATGGTTGTTCCATGAGAAAGGCTTTGATGGAAATTCTTTTCAAAGAGAAAATTATCTTCTCCCCTTCTCCCTGTCAAATTAAAAACTAAAAGGGGTGGGAGACAGAAAACACACATATGTCTGTAGACAAATCTAAATGTATGACAGTATTATAAAGCAAAGAATTATTTATCTATTTAGTCAACAAATATTCATTAAAATCCAATGTTAGCTGGGTGCTGGTGGCTCATGCCTGTAATCTTCACTATTTAGGAGGCTGAAGATCAGGTTCAAAGCCAGCCTGGATAGACAAATTTAAGAAAACCTTAGAACCTCATCTCCAATTAACCAGCAAAAAGCTGGAAGTGGAGACATGGTTCAACTGGTAGAGCACCAGATGAGCAAAGGAGCTAAGTCAGAGCACAAAGCCCTGAGTTCAAGCCCTAATACATACAGACACACACACAAAACAAAACACAACACACAATATGTTAGGCATTGTACTAGGCGCTGGCAAAATAATCCAGGGGTCAACTAATTTAATGGAAGTATTACAGAAAAATATCCAAAAAAGGATGCAACCTAAAGTGTTATCCACAGTATTTAGGGGAGATGCTATAGAAAAGAACTTGAATTAGCCCTTCAAGAATACTTTCCCAAAAGATAAGCATGCAATTCCATAAATAAATAAAATTAATCATGTGCAGCCTATTTTTTAAATGGCAGATACTAGTGGTAACCTTTATATACTTAAGTTTTAATCAGAGGCAATAGGAGAAGCTATTAGACAATTAAAGGCCATGTTAAGTAAAAAGTATGTAGGGGATAGATTAAGGCTTGACTGAGCCTTTATGTGGTGGCTTTTGAGGTATGTTTTGTTATGTTTTGTTTCTTGTTTTTTGTTGGTCGTGGGGCTTGAACTCTTGGGCCTGGGCTCTGTCCCTGTGCTCTTCAGCTCAAGGCGAGTGTCTACTGCTTAAGCCACAGTACCACTTCGGGTTTTCTAGTGGTTTATTGGAGATAGGAGTCTCACAGACTGTCCTACCCCGGCTGGCTTTGAACCGTGATCCTCAGATCTCAGCCTCCTGAGTAGCTAGGATTACAGGCATGAGCCACCAGCATCCGGCTTCAGGTATATTTTGAAAAAATAGGAGGATTCTGCTGCTAAGAATAAGATATACCCCAAGCCCAGAGTTCAAGCCCCACGACCGACCAAAAAAAAAAAAAAAAGAACAAGAGATAGGAAGAAAGACATCCTGGAGGACATTAGAGGCAAAGACAGAGCAGGTGCTGAGAGCTTCCATTTCTGTTTGAAGGAGCATACAGTAAAATCCTATGTGGGAATCTCATTGTAGAATCCCAGGGTTGAGTTCAACTTTAATTTGTAAGAAATTATGAGACAGTACAATGTGTTTTAGGAAAACTATGAGCTTTCTTTAGTAAAAGTCAAAATTCTATGTCGTTAGGCTAGTGCATGGCCACTCAATATGTTTTTTTGTCTTGTTTTGTTTTGGTTGGCAGTGGGGCTTGAACTCTGGGCCTGGGCTCTGTCCCTCAGCATTTCAGTTCAAAGCAAGCACTCTACCGCTTGAGCCACAGCACTACTTCTGGTTTTCTAATGGTTTATTGAAGATAAGAGTCTCACAAACTGTCCTGCCTAGGCTGGCTTTGAACTGTGACCCTCAGATCTCAGCCTCCTGAGTAGCTAGGATTATAGGCGTGAGCCACGGGCACCTGGCCACTCAATAAGTTTTGATGAGAGAAAAGGGAAGAAATAAAAAGAGGAAAAGAATGAGACAGATTAAATGGAGCAACAAAAACTAGAAGTAGTCACCAGTCTGAACTGTAAAATAAATTTAGAATGGGCATGGATGTAGCATTTTAAGAAAGCATTCTAATTAAATTGAGCTGACAATGAAGGCAGGGCTGATAAATCTTTCCTCAGTAACATAAATACATGAAATAAAATGATAAGAAAGAGGAGCTAAAACAGACTAACTCTGAGAAAGGTAGAGGGGTTGAGCTGATTGTCAAGGGTCAATGGCATCAAGCATCAACCATCAAGCAAGCCTACATAAAGAAGCTTCCATAATGTCAGAGCTGAATTAGAGGAGAGACCCTGCTGAGGCCAACTGTAGAACCTGCAAAACTGACAAATTGGTATGCAGGAAAACAAACCTTGTGCAGGTGCTACCACACACAAAGAGTACAAAGTAAAAAGAAACTCAAGCGCACACATAAGCTGAACTGTTTACTATATAGCTAAGCTATGGAATCAACCCAGATGTCCCTCAGTGGATGAATGGATCAAGAAAATGTGATACACACACACACAACACACACACACACACACACACACACACACACACACACACACACACACATTCTATGCCTCCATCAGAAAGAATGGCACTGTCACATTTATAATAGAAAGACTTGGAAAAAATTATATTAAGTGAAGTAAGCCAGACCCAAAGAAACAGGCTGCATGGTTTCCTTCATTTGTAATAAATAGAGTATGTCTATAAATCTATAAATTAATCTAATGCAGAGTAAAAGACAAATAATTATACTTAAACACGATTAATTAAGCAGCACTCTGATTAAAGGAGGATATTCTTCGATGAGGATCACAGTGGCTCAATAGCTATGTGCATATGACCATATAAAATGATGCTTATGGAAATGAGCTCCAAGAAATGGAAACAAGGTTTTTTTTTTAAATTGTACTCTTTGTGGTTCTTTTTCTCCCTTTATTTTATTCCCTTTTATTCACTGTATTTGATTTCTGACCCTTTGTCTTGTCCATCTGATTTGGGAAGGGGAAGGGGAAGCACAGAGATGGTGGGACAAAGGATGGACCAGTTTATCAGTGATACTACACAGTATGTTGGAAATGAACTGTAAAACTTGAAGAAGAAGGGGGGGTGGGGAGGGCAAAAACTGGGAGAAAATGAGGGAGGGGTGACACTGTTCAGAAAGAAATGTACTCACTACCTGACTTACGTAACTGCAAACACTCTGTATATCACCTTTACAATAAAACTTAAACTAAAACAATAAAATGGCAAAGAAAACTCCAAACATGAGCTGTGAAGAGTGGCACAAACTTGCAATCCTAGTACATCCTAGTGGATGAGTAAGAGGATAGAGAGTTCAATGCCAGCCTGAGTTCAGTGAGACCCTGTCTCAAAAAGAAGTCAGGTTCCGAGTTCAGTCTGAGGAAAATTAGAAACTCTCAAGAAAGGTTCTCAAGAAAGAATACCCTTGTATTCCATTTTAGAGATTGCCATCAACTTTCTCAGTATCTCAATTCTCTATAATTCAAAACTTTTCCAATGTTTCTAGGAACTCTTTTATCAATGTTCTTCCAGAGAATGTTACCAGCCCTTGCAGACTGAGTTGAAGAGCCATCTACTGGCCTAGTGCTATGCAAACATGCAAAAAATTATATGAAGTGAACTAAGTCAGGTCCAAAGAAACATAGGTCCTATGGTTTCCCTTATTTGCAATAACTAGTATGGGACAAGCAGAAAAGGTCAAAAGCTACATATGACCAGATAAGATGATGTTAAGTGAAATGAACCCCAAGATAGGAACACAAGTGGTTTTTTTCTTTCTTACTATTGTTCCTAACGTATTTATAATGTACCAGGTGATTTTTTTTTTTGTTTCTTTGTATGTTCCTCCCCAACAGTATAATCTCTATTTTCACTGTATTTGATGTCGGTGCCCTGCATCTCTAATTTGGGGAAGGGAAGGGAAAAAACAAAATGCTTAAATAGGGATACAGGTTGACCCACTGTAACAATGAGATGTACAAGACACTATGTTGAAAACGAACTTTACATTTTAGGTGGGGAGGGAGGGGCGGGGGGGGGGGAGTGTAGTTGTGGAGCTGGGAGGGAAGGGAGGGTAAGGGAAAAACAAAGGAGGAGGTGACAATGCTTGATAGGAAATGTACTCATTACTTTGTTCATGTGACTGTCACTCCTCTGTACAGTATTTTTACAATAAAAAACATATTTTAAAAATAAAAAGTTCTTGCCTCAGCTTACAGATTCCTTTTTACAGGTTTCTGTTAATATAATTACCAGAACTGCACTGTATTTAATTCAAGCTAAACACTCAGAATGAGGAAGTTATAAATGAGAAAAAAATAGTTCTACTATAAAGACTATTATCAAAGCAAATTATACTAGTTATATAACAGAGAAATCCCACTTTCAAATAATAACTATTAATCTCAGTATCATTAAGCTTCACTGTTATGTAACAAAGGTTATAGATAAGACCATATAATAGTGAATCATTTTGATATGTTGTTAACTAAAGTGTGCAAAGCAAGCTAGCTAGGCCCTCTAGTCATTTGCTTTTCAGTATATATTTTTTCTTTATTATCTTTAAGTAGTTGTTGTACAAAGGAGTTTCCATTTGACAAAGCAGTTTTTGAATACAATATATCTTGATTAATGTCATCCCTCAACATTCTCATCCATCCCTCCCCATATCCATCCTGTTTACTCTGTCTTCTTAATTTTGTAGGCTATACATGTTTTTTTTTTGTCTGCATTTTCCCCTTTCTCCATCTACTCCTTTCCTCACTAGACACAACCCTAACCCTATTCAAATATAATGCTTGAAAACAAAATAAAGAAAAATATTCCACTTCAAATGACTTTTTTTTTTTTTTTTTTTTTTAATTTTTGCTTATGTGGTGCTGAGGAATCGAACCCAGGGCCTCTGGCATGCAAGGCAAGCGCTCTACCACTGAGCCAACTTCCCAGCCCCTTCAAATGACTTTTTATATTTAAGAATAAAGATATTAAAAAGAGGACAAGAAAAATATTGAACAAACAGAAGTATATACCACCACAATCAGGCTTTGCTTTTAATCCCAATTTAATTTTTTTAAAAAGACCAATGGTAGGCTGGGAAGTTGGTTCAGTGGTAGAGTGCTTGCCTCCCATGCATGAGGCCCTGGGTTCGTTCCACATAAGCAGAAAAAGCCAGAAGTGGTGCTATGGCTCAAGTGGTAGAGTGCTAGCCTTGAGCTGAAGAACTGAGAGGCAGCGCCCATGCCCAGAGTTCAGGCTCCACAACCACAAAAAAAAAAAAAAAAAAAAAGTCCAATGGTGTGTTTTTTTTTTTCCTTTCGGAAAAAAATTATAAAACTTGTGTATAAGAACATACAAATTAATATGGGTGTTGGTGGTATAGTGGTTAGCATAGCTGCCTTCCAAGAACATACAAATGAGTTTTAAGAAAATTTTCAATGGAAAAAGTAATCACTGGAGAAGCTCTTCTAGGTGTATATACAGGTGCTTAAGCCCTCAAGATCATATGTCTGTATTCTCATTGGTTTGGACTCTCCTTAGGGGCCAAAAATAACTGTACAACTAACTGTACATCTTCTAGTTCCAGGGCCTACTACTGCCTTACCCATACTGAATGTTAACACATGGAGAACGGATGGCTAACTTGCTTTCTTATGCCCTAGTTCCTATGCCATAGTTCTACTTCTATCTTTTTGTTGCTTAATTAAAGAGTCTAAAACAAACTTTTCTGCCTGTGCTAGCTTCAAACTGTGACCTTTCAATTGCTGCCCCTAAGTTGCTAGGATTACAGGTGTAAGCCACCAAAACCCAGCTACAAATTTAATTCTTATTTGATAGCTTAGCTGATTTTCTTCTTGGAGGTAGCTAGTAACTAATCCAACTGTTCTAGTAACTAACCCAATTACTTGCATTTTATTTAAACTTACTAGAAGGGCAAAATCCCCAAATTTGATGACAAAGGTGTGAACATGCCTGGAGTTAAAGAGGTGGGGGCAGGGGACTCACACACTGTTCCTAGATGACGATTTAGCAATATCAATCAATAAAAGTCACAAATTCACACACAATTTCATTTGTGGAGATTTAACTTACAAAAGGACTAGAACATGAGAATATTACTTTATGTTTTTTTTAATAAATAACCCTAAATAGAAAATAACTCAAATGTTGGTCAGTTGAATACACTATGCTCTCTTTATAAAGTGGAAAATCATGCAGCTGTAAAAGCGAAGTGGTTCTGCCTATGTAATTATAGGGAGATAAATGATGCATCTTCCATCATTATATGTAATATAAAGAAAAAATAAGATGTTAAACAATACATACTGTGGTGCTATTCGTAAATATAGAAAATAAAAATGCATTTGTATCTGCTTACAAAAAGCAGCAACTCTACAAGGAAGCTCTAGAAACTGAATCTTCTGTATGTGTGTGGGAAGGGAATGAGAATGGAGCACAAGGGAAACCATACTTGAACAGCTTTTCCTACACATATAAATATGAACAATTGAATATATTAATTCAAGACAAATGAATATAATAACTCAAAACATTGATATAAAATGCCTTCATACAAGCTAAGATTTAAACAAGAACTGTAAAATCTTCTGTAGGCTTACCTGTAGACCAGTCACGTAAGAATCTTCACAATTCACATAATGTCCTAACATGGCATGTTGTGCCCGCAGTTCATTATCCCTTATCCTCTCATGCAAGTGAGTAATTTGTTGCTTCTGCCTAAAAGACACAAATTGAACTTACATTGTAAAAAATATACTTTTCTAAGAAATAGTTATAAACAGAACTTTCAGTATAATACTGTCAAATAAGCATTTATATTATCAATTTTAGAAGTCATAATAGGAATTCTTTACAAATCACACTATGTGAGATGTGAATTACAGTAAGTTCACCTATACTGTAGAGTACTTTTGGTATTTTTTAAATTGTAGTCATTTGAAGTCATGTTCTGCTTTCTTTTCTCTATAATGATTTCTATTTTCTTAGTCTGAAATTCTATTGCCTTTTAAAACTAGAATACAATTTAGTTATAAGAAGGGATTTTGTTGTGGAATTTCTATACATAATTAATATTTACCCCACTATTGTTTTATTCTCCTTCCCTTTTAAACCATTTAAGTTTCGTTATTCTATTTCCATATATACACATGAGGTCTTCCATCATAACCGGCCCTCTTCACCCTTTGGTTTCCATCCCTTGAACACTCCCAATTTTACACTCATGCCATTTTTTTCAAGGTCTAGATTGCACTTAGGAGAGTAACGTGATATTTGTTTTCTGAGTCTGACTAATTCTCCTTAGCATGATTTCCAGTTCTATCTTTGTGCAAATGGAGTATTATTCAGCCATAATGAAGAATAAAATTATGTCATTTGTAGGAAAATTGATAGGAAAATGGGTATAATTGGAGATTATCAAGTTAAAGCAAGTCTGACTCACTAAGACATATACCACACATTTCCTCTCATGTGAAACATATAACAAACAAAGGAATTACTGGTGGGAGATGAGAAAGGGTGTGGGAGGGTGGGATGAACATGAACTGTACACACAGATAAAAATGTCATAATGAAGCCATTAAATTTCTTTTTTAAAAAGAAGGACAGGCTAGGTGCTTGTGGCTCACACCTGTAATCCTGGCTAATTCAGGAGGTTGAGATCTGAGGATTGCAGTTTGAAGACAGCCTGGGCAGGAAAAGCCGTGAGACTTTTATCTCCAATTAACCACTTAAAAACTGGAAGTGGAGCTGTGGCTCAAAGTGGTAGCCTTGAACAAAAAGCTCAGAGAGCACCCAGGCCCTGACATGACTGACAAACATAAATCTAAAAAAGGAGCACAGGCGGATGACAGAGTGATAGAGGTGGTAACTATTATCATAGTATACTATATATGAATATATAGATATATCACTATGAATTAGCTTCCTTTGCACAATTAATATACAGTAATAAAAATAGTACTAGGGGCGTGGTCTAACTTATAAAGCACCACTTGTCTAACTATCACAAAACCCTTAGGGCAAAACTCAGTACCGCAAAAGTAAATACATAAAATTAAATAAAAACCATGCTAATGAAAAAGCAAATCAAAAATTCTAAAAAAATTCTACATGAAACAGATGAATTAGGATGTCATGTATTTAACAATAAAAAACCAACTAATGTTTATTGCATACCTAACACAATAGTGATTTTTACTCCACACACACTGCAAACTTCAAGTAATCAGAGTTCTCCTTTACACTGTGAAGTCCATCTACTAATAGCACTAGCTCAACTGTGTCTGTAAGAGTTTTAATGTTCTGAGAGAATCAAGTACAGTAATTTACCCTTATACTTCACCTTGTTAACTTAGCAGCACAAGCTGAGCAATCTAAAAGAGCAAACTGTTACAACACTTACTACTATAAAAACAGCTCAAGCCAACCAGTAACTTTGATCTCTTTTCTATGAAAATAAGGTCACTTTCTCTGAATGAACTTCCTGCTATGAGCTAGGAAATTTACAAGAGTCTCTTCTGAAGGGCACTCACAATCTATCAAGTAGAGATTTGCATTTCAACATAATTACATATACTAACCATGTATATACATGGCTTCCACTCTGCTATTGGCTTTGCTGCTTCGAAGCAGTACATTAGGGGGTGGTTTTATTTTTTTTTAACATTCAATCTTCATGTTATAAAAATGGATGAAAGAGGGTAGCTGCCTAGAACAGAGGCTTCAGAAAACTTCATTTTCTGTTGATATGATTCCTGGATAGAAACATCATGGTATAAGAAGCCAAGAATGTCATTCAGAATTGCATAAACGGCTGCGGTGACAAATGTAAAGAACAAGAAAAAAGGTTTCTTTCTTTTCTGAGTGGTTATAGAAATTAGCATATAGCACTTTTTTCCCCCAGAATAAGAACAAATTTGAAACACAACATTCTTGGCAGTTATTTTCCCTAAAGACTGGCTCTGCTTTGACCTGATTACCTAGTTTTACCTATTTTAAGGGTGAAAAAATATTTCTCATGTAATTGTGGGAAACTTATTGTTTTCAAATATTTCAATAATATCCAGCATATCATAAATGGACTTAAAAGGTAACAACAACAATACTATATCCCAGAGCAGAGAGTTCACAGTCCTTATTTTGGGGGTGTTCTACCCTACTGGATACCAATTCTAGTGTGAGAGCTTTGGTCAGTATCACCAACATTTTATATCTTATTGTTAAAGAATAACAAACTTTATTGACCAGACAATGACCTAAGGTCATCCATTGGGGATGTTCAAATTTTTTATTTTTAAATATTGGATATGTTTTTCTTCTACTGTTTTATACAATAGCAAATTCATTGATTATAAAAATTTATAATATAATTGTAACCCAAAAATACAAAGTTTAGTTAAAATAGTAAGTGTGACAGTATTCTTTACAAAAGTGTGCACCATAATTATCCTTCTTGTACTATTAATGTCTCCTTACTGTGTGATGTTTTGTTCCTCCTACTGTCCAGAAGCAAAGTCTACTGGACACATGACCAAGAGAACAGTTGAAATGATGTAGAGACAATTCTAAGCCAAACCTCAAGAGAGGCTGTATGCATGTTTCACTCAGAACCCTACCCGGTTACCTCATGAACAAACCCAGACTAGCCAATGTTAAATTAAACTACATGGAGTTAAAACCAAGCTACCCAACTGAGGCCATCCTAGACCAACGAGCCCCACATGATCTGCAACTCCTATATATACACAAAGGAGACAAGGGCACTGCAGCAGATGACCTGCCTTTGCTTGACCTGCCAAAAAGACTGGGCATTAGCTAGATTGTCACTTGACAATCCAGAGTGCTGACCAGCCCTTCAAGAATGCTTCTTGATGCCATCCTTTTGAAAAAGAGTGGACAGAATGTGCACATGGAATTGGTAATGCCTGGGCACAGAAAGAGTGCAAGATAAAACTCAATGATTTCTATGAATGTTTACTACAACAAAAAATGATAACGCACATGCATCTCATCAAGATGCAGTGGTTTAAGCTAACTGAGGAAGAGCGATGTATTTCCAGGGGGAGAACTCTGTATTCTTCTTGGAGAATTGCTTACCAAAAATCTCTTTCTCATAAAAAAGTATTTACTTTAAGTATATACAGTGAATTCTCTGTGTTAAAAATACATATCTAAAAAAATAAAAAATTAAAAAAATAAAAATATATATCTAAGCAGAGCACCAGTAAGTCATGTTTGTAATCCTAGCTACTCAGGAGGCTGAAATCTGAGGAACATAGTTCGAAGCCAGCCCAGACAAGAAACTCTATGAGACTCTTATCTCCACTTAAACATCAAAAAAAGTTGGAAGTAGAGTTGTGACTCAAGGGGTAAGGACAACACCTAGGTCTCAGTTCAAGTTCAAGGCCTGATGCATATGTGTGCACATGCATGCATGCACTCACGCTCACACACACACAATGTATCTATTTAGAATGACTCATATGTAAGATATACCTGTTTGAGGAACTCATTTTAAATCCTTATTTATTTTATTGAGACAGTCTCATTGTGTAATTCAAGCTGGCCTTGACTCACTACATAGCCCAGGTTTGGCCTTAAACTGGCGATTCTCCTGATTCAGCCTCTCCACAGCTGGGATTATAGGCATTCACCACTATTTCTGTCCAGTTTGTGTTTTTAAATAGCTTCCTCCTAAAAGCAGTGAAAAGGATCTTCTAGAATCTTCTTTTCCTTTATCAGGTATGGAAGTATTAAGTTTTAAGCATATATGACATCCTAGGATTTGGTCAAGATGTTGGGAACAAAAAAAAAAGTCCAAGATGTTACAATCTTGTTTACAATCAGTACATCTTCTTTATTATTGGCTCAACTTCCAATCAAAACCTTTTAACCACTAATAAGTTATGATTCAATTTTAAGACTAAAGTCTTAAGCAAAATAAGCAATAAAAATTCAGAAAAAATCCTCTTCCAACTATTTTCCTATTATCATAATATGTAATGTATTTAATTATCCCAAAAGTATACCTAAATGATGTAGAAACAATACATATCAAAGCTCATGTAACATAGTAGCGCAATGGATTATCAGAGAAATCATGACACTGTTGAGTATTTATTTCTGAGAGCTAAAAAGTTTTGGAATGTCCCCCAAACTTCTGTAAAACTTACCGTAAGTAATTTGCTTCTAAACATCAGTTATTTCCATCCTTTAAGTGGCTTCAGACCTAATATATATTAAAGGAAAACACTAACATCGTTTTCCAACTTGATAAGACTCCAAAAGTTAAACAGAAAGACACTACTTTATACTTCTGATAGTGAGTTAGCATAGCAGATAACCTGCTGCATTGTACAGAAAAGAAGAGGACCATCCTAACAATGAATTACATTCAAGTGAATGAAGATTACAGAAATCAGACACACAGATAAACCAGTCCTCCAGAGAGAAGATGAGCAGCATCAATGTATTCCAAGTTTTATTTTTTCAAATGCTATGTAATAAGAAAGCATTTTTTCCACTAGTTTACACTTCTATATGCCTGAAATACTTCGTAGTTAAGAAATTTTGACTCACCGATCAATGACAATTTCTTTCTGCCTTAGAAGTCCCTCTTTTATTTTCAGCACAGATTCCCACTTACTGAAATCCTGAAAGCCAGGTGAGTAACTCCGATGAGATGATCCAGATAAAACCTGCATGAATATGTTACACTATTAGTATACTAACAAAGTGTTGCACAGAAATATTTATTTACCATCTAATATTTCCCACCAACTTTCATTAAAACATTGAGAAAACTGACTTTTAAAGACTAAAAATCGGGGCTGGGAAGGTGGCTCAGTGGTAGAGTGCTTGCTTTGCATGTATGAGGCCCTGGGTTCGATTCCTCAGCACCACATAAGCAGGAAAAAAAAGCCAGAAGTGGTGCTGTGGCTCAAGTTTTAGAGCCTTGAGCTGAAGAGCTGAGGGACAGCGCCCAGGCCCAGAGTTCAGGCCCCATGACCGGACCCTCCTCCCCCCGCAAAAAAGACTAAAAATCACATTTGTGAACACTGCATAATGCAAGAATTTTAGGCAAGTTCCAAAGTAAATATGTAAGTCTAATGAAGAGTTGGGGTAGGGGCATGGGGTCAAGTGATAAGGCAACTGCATCGCAAGTATAAGGAAGGCCCTGAGTTCAAACCACACATACTCAAGAAAAAAAAAATTTAAGCAGTAGAAAAAAGAATGATAGTAATAATATTATCTACAAGGTTTTATTCTCATTACTTTGGGATAGTAGGAGCCTTTTAAAAATGAAACATTAATCATTGTTTCAGGAAGGAGTACAATAGAAATAGATTATGCTCACCTAGACAAACATTACGATGATGATGACAAGGAAATAAATGCTATGTTGTTAGAATTTAGACATTTTGTACCTTGTGAACATGTATATCCTTAGAAAATATGCTACTATGCAAATAAGTTGGATTACATGCTTTATAGGCTGAGGAAAACTTAGAATACTTTACTAATATCAATTATCAAGTAATATGCTTCAAAACTTCTGATAATTTATTTTTAACACAGCAACATCTACTGTTTTATTGCTGATAATGGTAATCTGTATCTTCATTCTATTGTCTTTCTTGGTGTAATTAGCAGTTAGTCAATTTTACTCATCTTCTCAATTATATGTTTTTTTCTATGAAGCCTTCTGCCTATTTTTTTAAGGAATTTTTTTGTGTGTGTGAAAATACTGTACAGAGGGGTTACAATTACAGGGCAAGATAATGAATACATTTCTTATCAAGCATTGTAGCCTCCTCCTTTGTTTCTCCTTCCCATCCTTTCCCAGCCCCCCTCTCCCCACCAAAGTTGTAAAGTTCGTTTTGGACATGACAACTTGTACTTCTCATTGTTACAACAGGTATTTTTTAAAATGACTTCACCGATTTGTTTTTACTTTTCGTTCCTTCTACTTGTTCTTGTTTTGGGTATGCTAAGATCTTTCCTTTTTTCTTCCTTCTTCTCCCCAGTACTGGGATTTGAACTCAGGGCTTTTTGAGCTTGCCAGACAAAACCCTCTACCTCTTGAGTCATGTCTATAGCCCCAAAGATCTTTCCCTTGTTTGAATGTAACTTTCTACCTCTATACTATGATATATAAATAATATATATGTATATATGCCACAAACTTGATATTTTCATTAATATTAATTCAGAAGTACACTGTCTTTTTTTTTTTTGGGGGGGGGGGGCCGGTCGTGAGCCTGAACTCTGGGACTGGGCGCTGTCCCTCAGCTCTTCAGCTCAAGGCTAATGCTCTACCACTTGAGCCACAGTGCCACTTCCGGCTTTTTTTTTTCCAGCTTATGTGGTGCTGAGGAATCGAACCCAGGGCCTCATACATGCAAGGCAAGCACTCTACCACTGAGCCACCTTCCCAGCCCTAGAAGTACACTGTCTAATTTCAGTAATTCCAAAAACTGATGATAATCTGGAATAAAATGGAATCAAATCACACTTTTGTTTTTGTTTTTCATGGGGCTTGAACTCTGAGCTTGGGCAGAGTCCCTGCATTCTTCAGTTCAAGGCAAGAGCTCTATCGGTTGAGCCACAGTGCCACTTCCGGTTTTCCAGTGGTTCAATGGAGATAACAGTCTCATGGACTTTCCTGTCTAGGATGGCTTTGAACTGTGATCCTCAGATCTCAGCTCCTGAGTAGCAAGGATTACAGGCATGAGCCACCAACAGCTGGCCAAATCACACATTTTTAACATTGTATTTTATGATAATTCTATGCTAATGTAGATATCTTTTATTTACAAATAATAACAATAAAATTATTCTAAAAACAATTCTAGGTAAATTTTGCATTAACAACACTAGAAGCAAAAAGAACTTGTAAACACTAAAATACCTAATACGCATTAGCAAAAGAAACTAATAACTAATTGTGGTAAATGTACACAGTAAAACATTAATACTCCAGACAAAGGAGGAGGCTACAATGCTTGATAAGAAATGTCTCATTATCTTGCCCATGTAATTGTAACTCCTCTGTACAGTATTTTCACAATAAAAATATTTAAAAAAAGAAATGTACTCATTATCTTGTCCATGTAATTGTAACCCCTCTGTACAGTATTTTCACGATTAAAAAAAATAAAGTTACTACTAATAAATACAATATAAGAACACCAAAAAAATTAATACTCCAAAGTAAAAAATAATAGGCCCTTTATAGTACTTGCTAAATTAGAGAAGACTCCTAAAACAGAACCATGTTCACGCAATGATAAAATTACAACAGTGGAAATAGATGAGATACTTGCTGGATGCTGAAGATGCTATATAGACTGAGAAGAGGTATTGAGAAGTTTATAGCTAACTATAGTGGTAGTTTTGAGTGCTATGTGTGAGAGAGAAAAAGGATGGCATTATTATTGGATTTAAAATTAATATAACTGTATTTTACATGTTAGATATCAACAACAAAAAAACAGAATAATCATATAAAATATACTTCATATCACTCAGATATGCTAGAGCAGAATACTTAAATGATTCAAGGCACACTATGGATGTTGGAATGAATTGTCCTGGCTATAATTTCCAATTTCTTCATCACTTTGGTACTGTCCTACATCTGCAAATATTCATGAGATAAGAGAAAGGTCAGATGAAGTAAATAACCTACATCAAGAACAGAGTCATCAACAACCTATGAGTTGGCTTTTAAGAGCTGTCAACATCTTGGGAGAACAAAGAAATTTCTATTATGGTAGAGAATAATCTACTCCATTGGGTAAAAAAGTTATGTATAGTCAAGAAAACCTTTCCCATATATCTTATCACTAATATATTTCTGCAAGCAGATGGAAAACTAAGAATTTCTATTCATAAAAACATAATTGCCTATGAGCTACATACCATTGGGGAGTAGTTACATATTGATAGTAATGTACACATTTTTACCAAATCCAAAAGGTCTAGGTACTGCTTCACAGAAAAATGTATCGAAATTTATTTACTGATGGTCTCCTATTGTTCTACTTAGAATTACAAGCAATGAGTCATGTTTCTACATGACTGATTAATCTTATGAAAGTTATACATATATATGTATAGAGATATAGATATAGCACATAAATACAATATCCAAAGAACATGAAATGTAAATATAATTATAAAGGATAATAATGATTTCAGCAAATTTTAAAACGGAACACAATTTATCATCAAACATATTTCAAAATCTATAACAGTATTATATAGATTTTACTTTTGTAAAAAGCTATTTTATAGCTACATTTGGATGTTGCCAAACTTGGAGAGAGGAGAAAATTTTTCATGTAGATATTTACTTAAAAATGCTTAAGATATCTAAGTTTTTGTGGTTAGGCAATACTGATTTACTACCCAAAGAACAGTAACACTACTATATGCAACTCAATTATAGAAATTTACTGGAAGTAGCTCATTCTATATTCATAATTGACAATTCCAAACACATATTACTGAGGTCAAACCCAGATGCCAAAATATATCATTTAGTGGACAAACATGCTTCTAATAAAAGTTTACTATACTGCAGCTGAAAATAGCTCAAAATTCTTTGGCTTGGACAAACAATGTTAATTTTAGATACTGCAGTGCTACTGCACTTAAATGGAATACACCCTCTGCAGTTCTTCAAGTTTGTTATCTCTCTCCTTCATTTGCCTTTGTCCCTTAGCACATGCATCACTCACAACATGTCAAATAGCACTGCAAATCTTCCTCTACTTCCTAGAATAATCTAGCTAAGAGATAGTTTACAAGTGTTTTTTGGCCAGAGAATGTGATAGCACACCAAAAAACCACCAAAATTCCTAACGCTCAGTAATGAAAATGCACTACAAATAACAGAAATAAATCCTTTTATTCACCAAAAAGAACATGTTTTATAGTATTAAAAGCCATGATTACTTTGCTTACTATGATCATCTCTAAATCAATTAATTTCCCTGCAAACAGCATAATTTCATTCTTCTTTATGGCTAAATAATACTCCATTGTATATGTATACCATATTTTTGACCCATTCATCAGTTGTATGGCATCTGGGCTTTTTCTATAGCTTCACTATTATGAATGGAACAGCAAACACATGTGTGCAAGTGTCCCTTTTTAATCCTAACTTAGATTTTTTTCAGATATATGGCTAAAAGTGGTATTGCTGGGTAATACGGTATGTTTTTGGAAATTTATTTTTTTGAGGAACCTCCACCCTAGTAGCACAAGTTTACATTACAACCAACAGATTTTTTATTTTTTTTTATTTTTATTTTTTTATTTGTGAACATACTGTACAGAGGGGTTACAATTACATGGGCAAGATAATGAGTACATTTCTTATCAAGCATTGCAGCCTCCTCTTTTGTTTCCCCTTCACATCCCTTCCCAGCCTCCCCGCACCCCACCCCCACCAAAGTTGTAAAGTTCGTTTTTGACATGACAACTTGTACTTCTCATTGTTCCAACGGGTCCACCTGTATCCTTAAATGACTTGTTTTTCCCCATCTAACCCCCCACAACAGATCTTTTATAAGGGTTCTTTTTCCCCTTCATTCTTCACCAGGTTGTTGTGTTCCTGATGACAGCAATTATGATTGGAGTTAGATGAAATCTCAAAGTCATTTTGATTTGCACTTCCTTGATACCC